CGTGGGCCAGAGTTGCGGAGTAGGCCATGTCAATAGAGATGGCGTGACCGTGGCGCAGAGGCACATCGGGGGAGAGCTCGTGGAGGGGTGACCAACTGCGCGGGGTAAGCTTCTAGAACGCTTGTGGCGTATGCAGGGTGGAAAGTTGACTTACGTGTGGCCGTATGCGATAACACGATCAAGCATAATCTCGTGCAGGTTGGGGGTCTCTAGCTTCAACATCTCGTGAATACCATTGCGGTTGATCCTGTCAGCCGCATCCCTGACCTCCTTGCTAGCTCCATCAGTGCGACCGAAACCGGTCTTGATCAGTTCCTCACAGAAGCGATCAAGCAGGTCGAAAGTCTCCAGATGGGCGCAAGTAGAGATCTTGATCAGCTCGGCGAAACCATTGCGGATCTGTGCGGTGGGAAGAGTTCGCAAGAAAGTGAAGTCGAGGAATGTGTGGGTTGGTGCGTGGTACGCGCCCAGACGGTTCTTGTAATTGCCGTAGTTGACAGCAACCTTGATGGACACGGACGCATCGATCAGGCCAATGACTGTCGTGGGAATGCGGATGAATGGCGTGTTGCGGCGGTAAGCGGCGCATGCGAAGCTGGGTTGTGTCAGAAGCCAAGCAAGTCAAGGGAACTTCTATAGGGAAACGTACCCTGCAACATCTGTGACCAGACCACCTCCGACAACAAGAACAGGCTCCTTCAATTGGTGTTAGATAATTTCGATGGCTCGAATCAAGACAAGATACTTACCTTGCGGTAGACACCAAATTCAGTCATGGAGTCGACGATGCTCAGCAACGTCTCCATGGACTTGGCCTTCTCACCAATCATGGTCTTGTGAATCTTGAGCTCAATGTTGTAGTGATCAAAGTACTCCTTCATCTCCTTGCCGTAGATGTTGAAGATGTTGAGGTCCATGACAGCCAAGCATCGCTTCCAGCGCGAGTAACAGTCGGCCAGCTGACTGTTCTGCTTGTTGAAAACGCCATCGAGGAACTCAAAGTCGTACTCGATCTTCTCGTAACCGCAGACGGAGAAACCCTTCTTGGTGGGCTCCACCGTCGCCTTCATGTCTGATGCCATCTTGTCAAAGGGAGTAATAGAAATTGATTCGGTCTAGGTATTGCGCAATGGGAGAGAGGAGAGCGCGATTGTCAAGATGAAAGACGTTGAGAGTTGTTGAATGAGATGAGAGAGGTGATGAAAGGAATCTGCCAGAGAGGTGCTTCCAACATCAGGCTTTTGAATGAATTAAGCTCCCCATAGCTCGAACTACGATACAAGACCGCAGCCGTATGAGATACTTCTGGTTCCAGTAGTCATTACTCTTTCGGCGAATGTCAAATCCCGGAGAATTGTCGACGAATTGTCGACATCATCACTTGCGCCTCCAACGCTCATCCAGGCCCACTCCAGCTTGACCGACTCCTCAAAAGAGAATCAAGTTACACAATCCCAAGGCAGACGAAAGCAAGTCGTCCGGAGACGACCAGCAAGGGTCGGAGTCAAAAGGTGAGACCCCGGCTTGTCCCGGGCGCCTAAGCTTGGAGCTACGCTGCTTTACCTTTGGGTAGAAGCAACTGGCGCAACGCGGTAGTTGACAAGAGAGGAGAAACGGTGACAAGTACATTCGACTCGATGCTGCCGTCAAACTCTGGTGGCACAAGCGAGTTGCTAGTACGGACAAGCTTTGACGGGATCGTCCTCGTTTGGTGCGCGGTTTTTTCTCATATCAGATCTCTTCGTTTCTCTCGTATCACGGTTGCTGCGTGACGGCAATGTGCAGAAAGAGTGTCATGATGCTCATGACATTTGCCAATGGGGCTTACAGCTTCTGGCCCCGGAGACGTCTAGAAGCGAGGCCTGGCGTCCGTTCTGGCGTTAGTTCCGCATGCCACAGGCTCTCTGCTTGGTTATTGTGTCACAAACCAATGCGGTCCGCGGGGCGGGAAGATGGCGTGCTGTACTCGGAGCAACTTCCGATGTTCCCTATTTGCCGCCTGTCAAGCAAAACGGCAAACAGAACGAGAGCTAGAGAAATCCCATGTTTCAGTCTGAAAAGTCGATTCCGTCATCGACATTCGATAATTTTGCGGTAGGAACGCGGAGCCAAGCGTAGCTAGAGCAGGCTAGCTACGCTTGCCCTCAGAGACAAGCCCAGGCCCCAAAGTGCTGCTTGCCTTTTACGCCCAGGAGATGATCGACACGAGTCGGGAGATCTAGATCTCGCACGTGGGGAAGAGGGGGCGAGGACAGACCAGGGGGAGACAACCCTCCGGCGAGCCGCATCGGGACGTCGACAGCTTCTCGTTGGCTGGGGGAAGAAGAGCCTGCGTTACGGACATGGATGCAGTTTGCATTTCTGGTTCATCGGGTTTGTTCAAATGCTGTCAAGCGTGGGAGCCTCGGATCGGATGAAAGCATCGAGTCGCATGCTAGAGTTGGATCAGCGGCGTCCCTTCGCCTCGTCCCCCTCCCCCTGGCTTCGTGCTACCGTTGGCTTGACGCACCTTGATTGAGAAAAAGACCAAAGGCAGTTAAGACGTTTGGAACACCCCGCAGTCGGCCGAGAAAAGCTGGCATGAGCTGAGAAAAGACTGCAGTTGCTGTGGAGTTGAGAAAGCTCGAAAGCAAAACTCAATTACATCGTCGACGCGGTTGATGAGGTGGTATGCGCGTCATGACTTACCGTGCCCAGCCAACTGCCCCTCTCCGCGTGCCACTACCCGCAATCGTCGCGAAAGCACATGATTTTGTACTCCCGTACTCCCGTACTCTTGTACTGATCAGGTACCTTTGTACCTGTCTACTATACGTACCGCGTACCACTTCTTCCACTTCCAGCAAAAGGTACCCACCGCATTCTCCCTCAACATATTGCGGGAGCTGCGAATCACGATCTCGCGGGATGGCAAGGTCCGGCCAGTTACCCCGCCATGACCAGATTTATGTGTCTCTCTCTCTTCCTTTTTAGGCCGGAGCTACATAGGTACCCTGTGGCGCCTTGCCTTCAAACAGCTATCAAATAGCCCAAGGCGTGTCATGGATGATGGCCGAGCTTTCTCCCTGCTGCTGCTGCTGCTGCTGCTGTGCTTTGCCCGGCAATTATTGCCTGGTCAATTTAATTTGGGAAGATCGGAGGAGGGAGGGGCAGCTCCACAGGGGTGAGGGGGGGAAACGAGAAAGTTGGGGTAGGAGGGTGTGGTAAAGGTGGTCAAGGTCGCCGAGAGCTACGATTCCCGTCAAATGTGCCTGCTTTGCTCGGAATTCCTTGCTTGCGCGCGACGGAGGCGGCGTTTTAATGTTGGTGGGAAGGCCTGTTCTGTTTCATCCATCGTGATGATAACTAGACCGGTGGCCCTGAGGATGAGCTGCCTGGGAATGCGTTCTGTTCCGTTTTCTCTTCCTTCTCGCCTTCTTCGGATCATCTTATCTACATAGATCTTTCGTCTCCAATTGAGATACAATAAACACCAAGAAAGCGACTGTGACTTTGCAACGGTTGGCACGCATACCTCAGCCAAGATGCCTCACTTTGACGAAAGCAAGGCATACGCCGTCCAGGAGGAAGTGTTCTTCGACGACGGCCGCGAGATCGAACTTCTGCACTTTGTCTACAGCCAACCCAACCTCGATGAGATCCGCGGCTCGCCGGAGGGCGTGTTGAAGGCGATTGACGATTTTGGCCGGACCAAGAAGTACCTCATGAATGTGGGCGAGGACAAGGGCAAGATTGTAACAGACTTGATCGCCGAGGTCAAGCCCAAGGTGATGGTAAGAGAAGAGCTTCGTTCTTAGAGGCGGCTTTCCGTCGCAAGTTCAGCAGACTTTGAGAATCGCACCTGTAACCATCCGAACGCTCTTGCTGGCTAAGGATGATCTGATCATTCCGCACTATTTTCCCCCTTCGAGACATAGAGACAAGAGAGAGAGAGAGAGAGATTGGATGAGATCTAACACCCGCCAACAGGTCGAATTAGGAGGTTACGTAGGCTACTCCTGCATCCTCTTCGGCGCCGCCGTCCGCAAGGCCTCCCCGGGAGGCGGAGCGCAATACTTCTCCCTCGAGCGCAACCCCGAATTCGCCGCCGTCATCGGCTCCCTCGTCGACCTCGCCGGCCTCACCGACACGGTCAAGGTCGTCGTCGGCCCCAGCGACGCCTCCATCGCGCGCCTGCACGCCGACGGCACCTTTTCCAAAATCGACCTCGTGTTCCTGGACCACTACAAACCCGCCTACACCACAGACCTCAAACTCGCCGAACAACTAGGCCTCGTCGGCCCCGGCTCCGTCCTCGCCGCCGACAACGTCATCAAGCCGGGAAACCCGCCTTACTTGGAGTACGTCCGCAGCTCGGTGGCCGAGAAGCGCGCCGCCGCGAGAGACGTCGGCGACGCGAGGAAGGCGGCCGGGTGGCACGACGAGCGCACGGCGAAGCAGTACGAGAAGCGCGAGGGAGAGGAGAGGCTGGACTTGTCGCGCATCGGGAACCCGGATCTTCGGTACGAGAGTAAGCTCATCGACAGCTTTGAGCCGACTGGTGTGCCTGTAAGTTCTCGGTCTCTTGGATTGACTGCTCTGGCCCATGAGGGTGCTGACAAGTTCTCGCTAGGATGGTGTTGAGATCACAAGATGTGTTGGCGAGGAGAAGGAATGAGTTTATGAATCACGAAGTTAGAATACCATGCTTTCATCCAATTGTTCCAGTCACATCAAACAAAGCGATCCAAAGGTTCACACCATCCACATCGCGCAGTGAAGTCGAGGTATTGGCGTGTAGCGCAAAAAATCCAGAAATATATTGGATGATTGGCATGTGCAGAACAGCCGCCATTCTAGTACTCCATCTTACTCCTTTGGTTTGGTCCCAAGAGAACTGCTCCTCTAACCCGCGTATTTCATGAAAAAGAAAGAAATTTCTCCCAAAAAATGCTTGTTTGTCCCAGTGCTCCAACAACGCCAAATTCAAACAGCAACCCACACAACAGAGGATAGACAGTCTAAATTCCCAGCCAGATCTTGGATCTTTCGTACGTGTAAAAGGCGACCGCTGCCATGGGCACAACCTTGACGTAGCCGATAGTCAAGCCCACGAAGAACCCCTGCATACCCCTCTCCCGGAAGATCATGGCGGCCGTCTCGCCGATGCGCAGTCGGTGGCCGTCGCCCACGGCACCGCCAACCTGCATTCGCCGACGAATGACCTCCAACGGGTACGATGCAGTCTGGGAGATGAGGCCGGCAACACCACCGGCAAGTAGTTCGGCCCATGATCGCAGCGGCGTGGGCTTGCCCGCAGGCAAGTTCTCCGGCCGCGGAAGCGTTGTCCATTTCGCGAGCTTGGGGTGGCGGAGAACGTCGCCGGCCGTGTCGTGCGTCAAAAAGGACATGCCGGCGTAAGGGAGCATACCCAGCATGGTCGGGGTGAAGCCTCTGTAAAAGTTGATCAGACCCGAGCGCGGGGCAACGGCGGTGACGGCGGAGGCGGCCGCCTCAGTTGCCGAGGTGCCGGCCGCTTGCGAGGCGGGGGACGTCCGCACAAAACGCTCGTTGTAGATCCGCCGGCAAATCGCGGATAACGAGGAACCGCCGTGTTTTGTCTCAAACGCTAACCGGACCCGAATGACCTCCAATGGATATGTGAAAAAGACGGACGTGATGCCCGCCAGGGAGCCGCTGATAAGCCGGCGCCAGGGCGTCTCTTGATCTTGCCTCCTGATAATCATGGAGCGGATCTGCTCGTACGCAAGAAACTTGATTCCGGCGTAGGGGAAGATTCGGAGGAGAGTGGCCGAGTGTCCTCTATACAACCCCGTGAAGCCTTCGTGGGAGCGAATGTCCTTCATTGCCGTCACGACACCGAACCACGACCCAGTGTACTTTGCGAATTGCGGACTACTCGCCTGGAACAGAATCTTGACTCGGTCAAGAGGTGCGACAACCGTCTTTGCCTGTGGTACAAATCTGCGTCAGCATGACGGATAGCCTCTCCACGCCGATTCATTCCTATTGCTACTTACAGCACATCCTGCCAGGCCTCCCGCGACGCCAGAACGCCAGACATAGTCGAACGTCCGCGTCTGCTTCCTGACGGCTACCGTCTCGTCGTCGTCAGTCGGGCACACGGGAGGGGCCCTCGTGTCTGGCTTCGGTCGCGCAGCATTTCGTTGATTGTTTGGTGCTACCTCCGACATAGAGGCATGTTCCAGCAGCGCTGACGGCATCACCTAGTCAGCGCAACCCGGCGAGCGCGCTCGTTCGCTTTGGCTGTTTGTGAAAGTGCTGGACCCGGCGTTACTCGAGGAGCATTCCGCGAATCGTGTTTTCCAGAAGTGTGTTTCGAAGCTTTCGGGGTCGAGGATTCGAAGATTGGTAAAGGAGAAACTAAAGGAGCTCGCAGCACGAGCTGGCAGGCGAGGAGGGTAAGGATCGTGGGGGGGAATGGTGATCGCGGAGAAGGTTCCAAGGAGGCAGAGTGCGGGAAGGGAAGGGAAGGGTCTAAAGCCGAAATGCGACGGGGCGGGACGTCATAAAGGCGAGATTTTAAAAAGGCTCCTTCTCATTGCACACAACTGGTGCTCTACGGGGGAGGAGCGTGGCGCACGAGCGGTAAATTGGGGGCTGCCCGCTGAGAGTTCTAGTACGGAGTACAGGGGTCTGGGCCACGAGCCGAAGATTGCCGAGCGTCGACGCGGGCGGATGGTCATTTTCAACTTCTCGACCTCTGCAGCGGGCTGTCTTTCCAGGATCTTCTCTGCTTTTACTCACTTCCGGTCCGGGGTTAGGCCTTTGATACCCACGATACCTCCGCAATTTCACTCCATGTGGGCAGTCGAATCGGGGACTGACTGCAAAGACTTTTCTCACACACAGAGAAACTAACTAACACCAGACCGCTTGTCCAAGGGGAAACCACACCAACGCAGGAGGGCCTCGGTAGGATTGGGGACTACAAGCACCGGACTGTTTTCTCCCACGGCCACCACAGCCAAGCCCCCACCCGGGTCCGGTCGAGGGGCACTTTGACTGAGCCGGGCCTCAGATCAAGCCTCCGGGGAAGACGCCCCGGGTCAAAGCCACAGGGGCAAGGCACGCTGGTCCTGGTTATACTTAGGTGAAGAATGAGAAGAAGATACGATTCTAGTCATGACCTCTACTAGTCTTCCATCAAAGTCCTCTCAGGCATGCTCGTCGCCAAGATGCGTCCTGTTCCAAAATGAAGACCGCTCCGTGTGTCTCGTCGACATACCCGCCTCGTTAGAGGAGAGCCAGCTCTTACCGGGCCAAGGTGCCGAGACAACAGGACAACCACAGAGACGGCTCCTCTCGGTCGACCCCGTCTCCGCGCCATTTACCCTCCCAGAGCCCCGGGAACCTCAAACCAATAACCGGACGCCGGCGAGCCAGCTCGCAGACCTCATGATCGAGGCAGCGGTGAGGAGCGCCCTCGATACGCTAAGACGGACCTGTGACGCGCCGTTTTGTCTCCCTCGTGTGACGGGCGGCGGGAGCAGCAGCGACGTCGTCAGCACCACCGGTCGTGAAAGCAGCGTAAGCCCGCAGGATCATCCCGCACGCAAGGACAACGGCGACGATGCTGCCGCTGCCACTACCGCAGCCGCTTCTCGGCCGGTTGCGGCTGCGGCTGCGGCGCACTTTATTCCCCCAGAGTCTACGTACCTGAACGGCTCGATCCAGGAGACTAGGGAATCCTTCCTCTCGACGGCGCCCAAGTTTGACCTCATTATCATGGACCCTCCCTGGCCCAACAAGTCCGCGAGGAGAAAGAAGAAGACGACTGGCGGCTATGCCACCGTCTACGGTCTCAAGGAGACGCGCGCGCTGCTGGACCAGATCCCCGTCGCCGCCCATCTCGCAGACGGCGGTCTCGTTGCCGTCTGGGTGACGAACAAGGCGACGCTTGTAGACTTGCTCACCTCGCCCAAGGGTGTCCTCGCATCCTGGGGCCTCGAGGTCGCTGCCGAGTGGCAATGGGTCAAGATCACGTCGCAAGGCGATGCCATCTTCGACACGGAGTCTGCGTGGAGGAAACCCTGGGAGAGGCTCATCGTCGCGAGAAAACGGGGTGACAATAAGAAGGTGCCCGGGAGGGTCATTGCCGCGGTCCCTGACGTTCACTCACGGAAGCCAAATCTGCGCTGCATGTTTGACGACCTGCTGCCCCGAGGATATCGCGGCCTAGAGGTGTTTGCGCGTAATCTGACTGCTGGCTGGTGGGCATGGGGCAACGAAGCTCTTCGCTTTCAAGAGTCTCAGCACTGGGTCGCATCATCTGAAGAAATAAGGCATACCGTGACTGAGGAATCCGAATCCAAAGATACCAAAACCAATTGACACCTTTTCTATATCGCATGCCGTCCTTGTTGTGTGTTGTGTGTTGTACAAGACATGCCGATCCGCATGCTACACTATTGTTCTTTCGATTTTTGTACACGTGAATATCCCAACCCCTTCCGTCAACCCCCCATCCCATGAACTCGCGCAACGGGATACTCATTTCCTCACCGATCTCTTCGATTGTCTCTTGATCAACCGCCAGCTCTTCGCCTTCCTCTTCTTGGGCGGATCCCACTTGCTGTCCAGCTCAACCTCCTTGTTCCCCTGATCCCACTTGCCCGGCGCCGCACCGCGCAAGATTCTACCAGCCTGCTTGCGCAAAAACTTCCTCTCGGGGCTCTCCTTGTCCTTGCTCGGTCTCGCCAGCCTGCCGAGCTGCTTGCGGATGTCGCCGCGGTACTGCTCGCGCGAGACGCTCTCGCGCGCCTCCCACAGCTTCTTGTTCCAGGGCTCGAGGTCCGCGGGCGGGGAGGGCCACACGAAGGGTTTCGTCAGCTGCACCGTCATTACCTTGGTGCTCTGCGGGCGGAAATAGCCGGAGCCCGTCGACCGCCGCTCGATGGCCGACTGCTTGACTTGGGAGCGCACCGCCGTCGTCTCGACGTTGTAGAGGTTCCAGAGGTAGTCGCGGATGTCGAACTTTGTGAAGGTCAGGGGCACGTTGAAGGTGGCCATGTTGGCTGGGGATTTGTCCTTGCGGACAAAAGTGACGACATGGTTCGGCCTGAGGGGGGAGAGAGACGTTAGCTTTCTGTGAATGATGTCTTCGAGGTGCGTGGCGCCAGGGGGTGAAAGGTGATCTCGGGTGAAGGTAGTTGTGATTGGAAAGCTGAACCTACAGATACACTGCCTTCGTTCCCAGCTTGAAGGATGCCGGCCCTTGGCGGACTACCGCTTGTGCCAATGCCTCCGCCATCTTGTCGTCCGTCGTTGATTTGGCTGAGCTTAATCGATCGTGGAGCTCCTGCGATGCGAGAATCCAAAAAGTTGACCGTCAGGATTGATCTGATTGATGATTGGTCGACTCGGGGTCACGTATTTCCGCCCTTACTAGTGGGACCAGATTTACGGGTGCCGGGCGCAGGTGCGGGAAAATTGGGTCAACGATAGCTCCCTCAAGGTGTCTCCACACGAGGTCAATTCTTCCGACCGGGCCCGCTCCCCGGCCTTTGACTCTCGGCTTCAGATACAATCTATGGGCAACTTACCTTGATTCCACGTAGGTATTAACAGTCACCTTGGCACTCCTAGTGAAAGCCAAAGAACTCCAAACCAAGGTGCTTTTTTGCGAACGTATACCCAGTCCTATCCCGGCAAAAACGGCAAGGCTGGGTCGCTTGTGTGTCAAGCAAAGGTGGAGTCAAGGCATGTCACGCGACGTCCTGCCATGCGTAGATCTCGGACTCCGAAAGTTTGAGCCGGACAGCTTGATACTCGCTCTCGCCAATTCAGTGTTTAGCACTACCAGTAAGGTACCAGTTCAATTATGAGAGCTAGCAGAGCTTCTCCCCTCACTTCCACAGAAACAATACGTCGAGTCTTGGCTGCCTTCATCTGAGGAAGCTTCGACCACTTCACATCGAGATGTGCAAGAGGGGACAAGAAGATCAGTGTACGGATACAATACACGCCTATTGCGTTCATATCCGATGTTTTACCTGGCACGAGAAAGCAGCCAACGAGGCAAGAGCAGTGCCGATCAAGGAATGGCCTTGTCCGTCAGAGCTCCAACCCCAGATTCCAAGACCAGACGGGTTATGTAAGGCCGCGCACAAACCTGAGTCTAATCTCCACTGGTTTATGAGGGGAATTGGGAACACCACAGCTGGCGATTTTCCTGGTATTCACCTCCTTCCTCATTGCGATGCCATTCTAGCACATTGAGAAGGCATGCACAACTACCGCGGTACATGGGGTCGGCTGCAAGTGGACCGGTGACTCAGATTCGACTCACACACGATAGACCGCAGAATTTGTTTCCCGAAACAAGTAAGGGTGGATTGTACTAATAAACACAGCATTGCTAGCAACATGGAGACGCAACTATCCCGTACACATCTGGAAGGCTTTTCCCGTCCTTCTTACAGATCTTCATGAATCATGATGAACTTTTACCATCCATCTGTCATGGCTATTGGTGTCTGACTTAGACATCAAGGCCGTCAACAACCACACCCTTGTTCCAGGTCCAGTTCATGTAGCGAGCGGTCTCCTCGGCCGAAGCGTCGTCGACGAGGGCGCTAATAAGGTACAGAGCGGCATCGATACCGGCGCTGACTCCAGCGGCGGTGATGACGCGAAGACCGCCGAGGCGCATCGCGGCACGGCGGGTAATGGACTCGCGGCGGCCGGAGCTCTTGAAGGACATGCTGCCCTTTCTGTTTCAAAGAGTTAGTTTTACTCGTAGCACAGGAGATGGGGTGTAGACCTGGCCACGTACCTAGCGTTAGAGGGTCGGCGACCGGTGTCGGACTTGCGGCGGACGTAGGGGTTCTCGTCCTCATCTCCGAGCTCGAAGCGGAGGTTGTTGACGACGTAGCGAGCATCGTCAATGACATCAGTTCTCTCAGTGAGGTTGCGGGTAGCGGCCTCGCTGCAAAGGATCTCGAACTTGGTGATGTAGTCTGAGTGAGTAGTGGCGGAGAGGCCAGCGAGGACACCCTGCTTGGCAAGGAAGAGAGAACCGGTGCAGATGGAGAGGAGGGTACGCTCGTGGGAGGGATCCTTCTGCTGCAGCTCAGAGAAGGCCTGGATGAGAGGAAGGGGCTCGGCGTTGTTCTTGAGAATGTTCTCACTGTCGCCGCCAACAATGACGAGGACGTCAAAGTCGCTGAGGCGCTCATAGGCCTCCTTGAAGGGGATTTGGGTGCCAATGGTAACACCGGAGTCGGAGACGACCTTGGGCTCTGCGGCCGCAATGGTACACTCGAAGGCCTTGGAGTCTGCGGGGTCGGGCACTGGTTAGCATGGCTGCACCACAGCGGCGTGCATAGCGGATGGAGCGGGGAAGGCAGTGAGGAGGAGGAGCTGCGCAGAAGCTTCCAAGAAGGTAAATAGGTAACTCACTCTTGTCCTTCTGGTCATGAAGGGCAGTGGACAAAGCCTCCATAGGGCCTGCCATGTCAAGAAGGTCGAAGTTGGGTTGCAGGGCGAACAGAACCTCAATGGGCTCGTCCGCCACTGCAGAGCTCTTGTTTGCCATCGTGCCGGTTGTTAATGTAGTGGTTCAAGGGGGGAAGAGTAAGTAATACAGCTTGTGCTAGCTGTAAGGCTGTGTTGGAGTAAATGGGGTACCGAGATGAGTTCTCGGAGAAGGTCGTTGCTGGGGATTGGCGATTGATTGATGAGATTGGGCTGTTTGTTGGTTGACGATGGTGGAAGAAGAGGAAGTGGAAGTGGAAGGAGAAGAGGGAAGCTCTGAGATATTTGGATGGAAGGAGGGGAGGGGAAGGAAGTAATAAGGGTCGAGTCATCTGGTCAAAGGTGGTCAAAGGAGGGGTTGGCAGTTGCACCACCAACCCACCAGACCTCTTCTTCTCCTTACCTCGTTACGGTTTACCTGACCTTAGCTGACTTCCATTCCGGAATGTCTACCTCCTCACGCATCACCTTGAGGTGGACGTTGAGGTACCTCTCCTGGCGGTATGTCCCCCTTCCCCCCTTTGGATCTACGCAGTTGGCCGGCTTCAAACCAAAGCAACCCCTCCTGCCCACGCGTGCTACATACGGTCCGCTTGCCCTCGTCCAGCTCAGCTGAGTCAACTGGCCATTGAGTGACTGATCAGGTGCGTTTCTGGAAAAGGCCACAACCCACAACAGCTTCAAGTGGTCCAATGGCCCCACTGTCTCCCGTACGTTTTCTGGGGTCGGGTGCATCGGTGGCCCACGGTGCATGGCGCTCTTTCGCGGATTGCGGGGTTAGTCTCCCCGTGAGGTCACTGGTGGGTCCCGGTACATGCCTGCAGGGCATCCGGAACACCGAGATCCAAGTATCTCCACTTTGAACTCTCTTTCCTTGCGGCGTCGCCCGCCCTTGGAGGTGTCGCACTGGCAATGAATTGAGCCCTGCGAGTTGCGACAGAGCACTGTGAGACCCAGCAGGCCAGGCCCCACAGCAAGACTAAGCGAGACCAACCACAAGCTGTGTTGCAAAGCTGTTTGGCCGCGTCCTGCCGAACAGTGGTCTTCCGTCAGGCCCCTCCCATGCCTTGTAGCGTGCCGTCCAATGATCCAACCTATCTTATCGGCCTTCTACAGCGTTCCCGGCCTTGTTCGAGAGAGGGTCCCCAGCAAAGCTTGTACCTTGCATCAGCAGATTCCGTTGCCGTTGCCTGACAGTTGCATGATCTCGACTTGCCCACCTGCGCCCACAGACGGACCTTGCCTTGCTTTTTCCACAAGCGAAGAACATCGTGAGGCTCGATGAAGAGTCACCGCTAACAAAATGGCGTCGTCAGCGTAAGTGGTCAGACTGTGTTCCCTCTTCGTCTTTTCCCTTCATTTCCCTACAACCTGGGTCGCCTGCGTAATGTGGTGCGCGATATTCCATCCCGCAACGTACCTGCGCCTGCGACTTGCGACAACGCACACGATAGGGCTAATACCAGACTTTCTAGGTCTCTCAAGGACCTGTCCAAAGCCTTTACGTCCTTCTTTGCCTCGCCTTCTCTTCCACTGCCCGACGATGTCGCCCAAGTCATCGATGCCTACCTGAACAAGCACGAGAAATACGAGGATTCGAGCGCCGAGCGACTACAAGATGACTTCCTCGGCATCTGGGATAAGCATGTTAAGGGTGCACCACCCAAGTATGCTGCCTTCGTCCACGTCTTCCGACTCCTGGTGCCTGCGATCCGCACCCCGTCCCGCCTTCTCAAGTGGTGGGATCTACTCAACGACCCGATTCTGGAGAACTTTACTCGGGAGAAGGGCTTGATGGAGGAGTCTCACCATGCGACGCTAGAGGTTCTCATGTTGGATGCGCACAAGGAAGACGACCCAAATGAAGAACGGGTTGTGAACCCTTTCGCCAAGAGGCTCTTGTCATCATGGCTAGAAAAGTACTATAAGATACAGTCTGAAAGTGACTTGACTGCACAATCCAGCGAGCGCGCAATACGCCAGGCCTTGATTACGTATGGCAGGAAGAAGCCCAAGGTACGTCAACATCGTTTCCGTCGTGGGTGCGACCAGTATTCTTATGCTATGGCAGGATTTTCTTTTCGCATTAGATACGTGCTTTGTGCGGAGTGAATTCCGCGCGAGGGCGGCCAAACTGCTGTGCGAATTTGTCCAGAGCCAACCGCCACACCTACACCTGATACTGCAGACGCCGCTGTTCAATAATCTGCTGCGATGCCTGCAACAGGACACATCGACCACGGCCATCTCGATGGCCATCACCGCCCTCATCATGATATTGCCACATATGCCTAGTTCCTTGGTGCCACATCTCCCGAACTTGTTCAATATCTATGCGCGGTTGCTCTTCTGGGACAGCGAACGGACGGGTATTATCGAGGCAACATCAGATGAAAGCGAGCAGAAGAGCCTTGCGTCGCCTTCAGGCTGGGAGACATGCCAGTACTCTCCCGAGACCGACGACATCGAGGTCCCTCATCTCGCCAACTACTTTACCGTCCTCTACGGCTTGTATCCCATCAATTTCATGGACTACATTAGGAAGCCGCAACGTTATCTTCGACATGCTAACGCGGCTAATGCGGACGAAGTGGAAGTTCAACCAACAGAGATTAGGTACAAGTCTGAGCGGTACAGGCAAAGCCATCTTCTGCACCCAAACTTCTATACCCTGACAATCGAGTCTGAAAAGACCGATTTTGGTCGATGGATGACTAGCGAACCAGCAGAAGTCGTGGCCGAGTGCATGGCACTGCGTTTCTCTCCCGAAGGTTTCGCGGCTATCGAGCCGGACAGCATGCAGTCTGCTGAGGGCGACAGCTCCCTTCTCAGCGATGAATCTGATCGAGACGGTCTCGGTCCTGCCTTGCTCAGCGGATGCAGCTTGGAACCTGGCGCTGAGAGCTGGAGAAGCAATCAAGATCTTGACCAAAACTCGAGAGCAAGCAGCCACGTGCATTCGACTGGCCAAGGTCAAAGCTCGCTTTCAAGTCAGCCTTCCCACAGAAACTCCTTGGAGGCCCCCAAGGCAGACATCGCTGGGGACAGTCCGACGTTGCCCCCTCAGCTAGTTCCGTCGACCTCCCACACCCATTTGCAGGACATGATTCAATCGAACAAAGTTATCAAGTCAGGACTCCATCAGTCTTTGGCCAATGATAGCGTTCCATCACTCGCGCTGAGCCACCCAGATTCAGCAGCGGAGAAGGCCCCTCCTGGCCACATGCCTCCATCTCTGCCAGTCATCTCTACGCCGACGTCTGTTGCTGAAGGACAATCTCAAGTCGCACATTTGCAGAGGCAGATTCTGCTACTCCACAATGATTTGAACTTTGAAAGGTATCTCAAGCAGCAACACATGGCGCATATCGGCGAATTGCGCCGCAAACAAGTTCGGGAAGCTGCAAGTGAAGCCGAAACACAGAATCTCATCTTGACGAACCGGACGCTGAGGAAGCGGTTGGAAGACTCAAAGAAGGCCGAGAATCAAATCAGGAAAGAATCAGAAAAGAGCCGAACGTTGGCCAAGAAGTGGGAATCCGACTTATCCGCAAAACTGCGAACTCTGCGTGAGGAGTCGAGGAAGACCAAGACAGAGATCCAGTCTCTGCAGCAAGAGTTGCAGGGTGCACGCGAAGAGAGCGAGAAACTGAAGAAATTGGTGTGTGACGCTGAGGTCAAGGAGCTAAATTCGAAGCAGACCATGCAGTCCGTGGAAATCAATGCTGCCGAGAACGACCGCTTGAAGGCTGATGTAGAGCGGCTGTCGATCTCTGAAAGAAACCTGCAAGCCAAGGAGGCAGAAAGACAGGCGGCAATCACATCTGCTGCGGAAGCAGAAAACCGAGCCGAGATCTTGGACTTGAAGCTTCAAGCGCGCGAGGGGGAGCTCCAGAAGACGAAGAAGCTCTTCCAAACGCAAATTGGCGTGCTTAACTCGAAACTCTTAGAGGCGCATGAAGGCATCCACAACAGACGGAACGCCGAAACCAAGGCGGCGGTCGAGAGCGCGCTAGCTGCGAGTCGGGCAAAGCAGGCTGAGCTTCAAAAGCAATACACCAGCCTGATGAGGAAGTACACGGTGCTGCAGTCGCAGCTAGAGGAGAACCGGTTCTCGGTAGGATCTTCGAACTCTCACGGCCGGGGCGATTTCGTCTTCCGCATGGACGGTGACGGGGAAGGGTCGACGCACTCGAGCAGTCCGGTCACGACGAGAGGTAGTCACTCGGGGATCCACAGGGTCTTGTCGGAGCACGACTTCCTCAACCCGACGTCGTACAATGCGACACCGCCAATCATGTCGAAGCCGTCGACTCCGGTCCCCTCGAGCGCGCACCTCCCACCCGTACCTTCCAGCCCGATTGAGACGGACGAGGCCATTAGCCCGACCACGACAGATCCGAGATACTTCGGCAGAGGTGAGTCTGGAACATCGGCCCGGCTTCGGCTCCGAGATGGGTTCTGGCGGATCAACTAATTGAGAATTGTTTTTCTTTTTCTTTCCAGGCGGAGTACAGAATCGACGGAAAGATGAAAAGGGGAAGAAGAAGGAGGAAGGAAGTAGTGGTGGCGGCGGCGGTGGCGGTAGCAGCAGCGACAAGAAGGAGAAAAAGTCGGGCGTGATACGGGGTATACGTGGATACATGTGATCAGCAAAGCGTAACAAACGAGTCGGTCTAGTCGAGAGAAGACGGAAACACGGCCCATGAAGAGAGATACCCAATGACTAAAGTTCTGCTAGATTTGTGGCCAAGATGCAATCACTTTCGCGTATGATAACCATCGTTCTTCGGGGGCCAAACGCCACAGATCATCTTATGAGTTTTGGTTCCTCCTAGCATTTAGTTGGGCTGCAAAGGGGGCACATTTGACTACTGTCAAGCGCTGGACAAGGGAGCTGTAGAAAGTTGAGCCCGAAAAGTAGGCAGTTGCTGCCGAGTAAAACGACAGCGCACAAGATGCTACGGAGCCTTTGACTACCATAACCATTCAGTCACTGAGTTACTTCCGACTCCCCGGAACGGTGGTGTTCTTCAAGATATCAACTTTCGGTGTACAAGATCTGTCCGAGCTGACAAAGCAGATGGAACACACCGGAGCAGACGACATGAGCCAAAGATCTCGCCTGCTACAAGAATCCGCCTCGACGATTGGCAACCAGTCAGTGGTGCGCAGCCTCATTATGCAGGAGCTCCCACGGACACGGCGGAAGCGGTTTGGGCTCAACACATAGTCTTCCATGACTCTATCTCTTCCAGACAAACTTTAGAGGGCCAACTGAATTCAGTCACCTGAATTCGTGCGCCTCTAGGAATAGGACGGGAGCGCAACTATGCTCGAGGGATCAAGTGAGGCTTGCAAAAAGGCTAACCTCGTTGTGAGGGACATTCCGATGAACAGCAGCTTTGGTCAATAGTTCCCGGAACTGTTGGCCTTAGTTCCTCAGCTTTGACTCCTTGCCTAATTGGCCCAAGGCAGTATCGACATTGTGAGAACAGAAAGGGAAGCTTGGAAATTGCCTTCCATCAAGCGCAAGCGCAAGCGCAAAGACTTTGACGCAGAAAGTCCGCTTCACAGAGTTCCATGCCTTAGAGTCGAAGAAGGGGGAAGCGATAGCTTCCTTCCTCACGTCGGTACGCTCTGCAGCTTGCAGCATCGCCACCCGTATCAGTATCTGTCTTGCAAGCGCAACTCCGAGCCCCGAGGACGTGTTTCCCACCTTTCACCGATGCATAAGTCTTTGCTTTGGGCTGCTTGCCTTAGTCTTCCTTGAAAGATTGTTTACGGAGAGTCGGGTATGAGAAGACTGCCGTGATTGGCCCAAACTCGCCGCCTGTCTCCTGGATCGAACCCGGGTTCCCGAGCGCACGGCTCTACGCCTTCCAAAAACGGTTGCTAGTGAGGCCCTTGCAGTAGTTCGCAATCTGTCAAGTGTCCGTCTGAGACAGCATCCAGCGCGGGATGAGCTTCCCAGAGACGGGCTGCGGAAAGAAGTACGAAAATGGAAGGGAGACGTTGCGTCGGGCTTTCATCAGGTCCCGAGTCTATGGAAGACTAACAAATCTCACTTCAACTTGTCATCAGACTTTTTACGGGTTTTCACCTCGGTCTCGCCGTCGCGAGAGAGATAGTCTCATCATGTAATAGCTCTCAGCTCGTTTTTTATTCTCGGACCTCCACTTACACGGCCTATCGACAGCAGTGCCTCGTTTCGATTTGCTGCATGCACATTGCCGTCCAGAAGGAAAACAAGATAGGGCAACAAAGAGGCCCAAGAACCAGAGGAAAAGGACGTCCGTCGCCTTGAAGCACGAGGTCGGACCTTCTGACGTCAAAACATCAATGGGACAAAAAAGTCATCAGGATGGATGAAGCAAGCAGGAAAGCAATCCGGACGGACGGTTTTCTCACACCCCCAAAAGTAACCTTCAATTTCCTTCTCCTGTCAAAGTCTGGAAGGAAACTGTCAGACTTACACGGAAGGCGAAAAAAGGGGCACTAATCTAGGACGGAAAGCCTCTTTGCACGACATCGATATCTATACGCCAGAAAGAAGATCAAGCTCAAGGGGCACGACGACACCTACGAAGGTGGTGCCAAAATATGGCGAAGATTCCAGTCCGAACCGACGAGATCACCTCGACGACGGGTACACAGGCTCCGGTGCGAAAGCCAAAGTTTGCGGATTATCTCAGGGTCTTCACCTATGCAACGAAATGGGACTTCTTCGTCTACGTGGTTGCGGCGTTCGCGTCCATCGCCGCGGGTGTGACGCTACCTCTGATGAACATCATCTTTGGCCAGCTCGTCGGCCAGTTCACAGGCTACTTTGCTAGCGGCTCGACCGTCACCACGGCGCAGTTTGAGAGCCTCCTGAACCGCCAGGCCCTTTACATCACGGCACTCTTCCTCGGTCGCTGGTTCCTTAACGCCATCAATAAGTTCTGCTTCCGAATGATTGGGATCCGGCTCTCGTCCGCTATCCGCCTGCACTACCTCCGCTCGCTGTTCGACCAGTCGATCCACGTCATTGACTCGATGCCGCCCGGCGCCGCCGCGACGGCCATCACTGGCACGTCTGCCACCTTGCAAATCGGCATCTCTGATCGTCTAGGGACATTCTTGCAGTTCAACGGCACGATCTGGGCGGCCCTGGTCATTGCCTTCATTTGGAGCTGGGATCTCACCTTGGTGACTTCGTCGCTGATCTTGTACATTCTCTTGGTTCTGTCCTTCTGCTTACCGGTGATTGTGAAGGGGGAGACTGAAACGACGGAAGCTGATGCCCAGGGCACCGCGATCGCCAGCGAGGCTCTCGGCGGAGTGCGGTTGGTAATGGCTTGCGGTGCGCAGAAGCACATTATCTCTCGCTACGAGGCATGGGTGCATGAAGCCAGGAGACGGGCTCAGAAAACTGCTCCGGTTGTTGCAATTCAGTTTGGCCTCATCGTACGTTTTACTCTCCTGTTCAGCCAAGTTCCCAAAGTGTAAGTGAGAGCTAATATGACTTCAGTTCTTTGGCGTATTCGGCGCGTTCGGCCTGGCTTTCTGGTACGGCACTCAGAGATATATTGCCGGTGCCCTCAGCGATGCTGGCGTGGTTGTCGTGGTTCTCATGTCCGTCATGATGATTCTGACCTCGTTGGAGAGGATTTCAACCCCGGTCATCGCTGTAAGCAAGGCAATGGTCGCGGCATGTGAGCTATTCACGGTGATCGACGCTCCTTTGCCTCCTTCCGGTACTCTGAAGCCAGAAATCGATGCAGAGGATATTGTCTTTGAGGACGTGACGTTCGAATACCCTAGCCGAGCTGGAGTCAAGGTTCTCAACTCACTGAGCTTCCGCATACAACCAGGTCAGAATGTCGCCCTCGTTGGCCCATCCGGATCGGGCAAGAGCACCATCGTCGGCTTGCTGGAGCGGTGGTATAGTCTGAGGGAGCAGCACGCCTTGCCCCGGGTCGTGGATGATGCATCGTCCGAGAAACCGGGAGCTGAGAGGGTCGAGAGCGTCACCGACGAGTCAAAGTCACTCATTCGACCCGAGTTGGCCGGCTCAATCACCGTCGGCGGCGTGAACCTGGAGGATCTCGACCTCAAGTGGTGGAGATCCCAAGTCGGTCTGGTCCAGCAGGAGCCCTTCCTCTTCAATAACACCATCTTCAGCAACGTTGCGAATGGTCTCATTGGGACCGAGTGGGAGAAGGAGCCTGAGACGGTGAAACGGGAGCTTGTTCGTGACGCATGCCAGGAATCGTACGCTCATGAGTTTATCAGCCGATTACCTGATGTGAGTAAATTATAATTGCTTCTCCTTAGCAGCTGATTGCATTGAAGGAGCGTTTTACTGACTTTAAACTTTTTAACAGGGCTATGATACGCGAGTCGGCGACGGCGGAGCGAAGCTTTCAGGCGGCCAAAAACAACGACTTGCCATTGCTAGAAGTATCATCAAGAAGCCGCGCATCATCATTCTCGACGAAGCGACCAGTGCTATCGACGCCAAGAGTGAGAAGATAGTCCAGGCAGCACTCGACAGAGTGACACAGGGCCGAACTACCATTACCATCGCCCATCGGCTTTCAACCATCAAGAAAGCAGACAACATTGTGGTTCTCCAAAAAGGACAGGCGGTCGAGCAAGGAACCCATCAAAGCCTCCTGAGCGATCCATCCAGCGTCTACAGCTCCCTGGTAAGAGCTCAAGCACTGAACTTGTCAACGCCTGGAAAGTCGGTGTCCGAGGCATCTACGTCTGGGCTTGATTCGGAAACAGAGGAGAAGGTCAATGGCCATGAGCACTTCAGAAGTGCCGCCTTTAGCGACACTGCTGAGGGTGATTCGTCCCATGAGCCCCGAGGCCTGGTCCGCAGCTTTGGTAAGCTTCTTTTTGAGAGGCGAGCAAAGTGGACGTCGTATGCAGCCGTCATATTATCTTGCATGGCGACCGCGGCCGGCACACCGATACAAGCATGGCTGTTTTCCAAAGTCATTGCCGTCTTCCTACTAACTGGCGATGAGCTGAGGAGACAGGCGAGCTTTTGGGGTCTGATGTGGCTCGCCCTCGCCGGGGGCGTCGGCCTCGCGTACGTCGCCCAGGGTTGGGTCGGCCTGCGGCTGCAGTACTTCGTCAGCGCCGAGTACAAGAGGCAATATTTGACCGACATGCTTCACCAGAAGATTAGCTTTTTCGACCAGGACAAGAACTCCCACGGCGCTCTCAGCGCCAGGGTCTCGGGCGACGCGAAGTTGCTGGAGGAACTCCTCGGGCTGAACCTGGCCATGTTGCTCTCTGGTGTCTTCACCGTTCTCGGATGTGTCATCATCGCTCTCATCTTTGGCTGGAAGCTCGGCCTGGTTGCCATGTTCATCACGATGCCAATTATGTTGGGCGCAGGTCTCTGGAAGTACAGACACGAGGTCCAATTCGACAAGATGAACATGGCTGTTTTCGGAGAGAGCTCGCAGTTTGCCACTGAGGCCATTGGAGCAATTAGGACGGTCTCCTCTCTCGGCATGGAGTCCACAATCAATGCGCGGTACGAGAAGCTCCTAAACGGTCACATCCTCGAGGCTCGCCGCAAAGCACAGTGGACAGCTGCGCTGTATGGATTTGCCGACAGCGTGAGTCTCGGTTGCCAGGCGTTGGTGTTCTATTACGGCGGCAGGCTCCTCGCCACAGGCGAGTATTCCATGGAGGCGTTCTTCGTCTGCTTCATGGCCATCATTCAGGGCGCCGAAGCAGCGAGTCAAACGCTAGCCGTGGCGCCCAGCGCCGCGCAAGCAGCCGCGGCGGCGGACCGGATCCTCGACGTTCGGGAGTCGGCAGACGTCGGCCAGAGTGCGACGAGAGGGGTGGAAGACATTGTCGAGTCCGAAGGCGGCGTGCGGATCGAGCTGCAAGATGTCCACTTCAAGTACCCCACGCGCGACGTCGTCGTATTCGAGGGTCTGAACTTGACCATCGAAAAGGGCCAGTACGCGGCCTTTGTCGGACCCTCGGGATGCGGCAAGACCACAATCATCTCGCTTCTGGAACGCTTCTACGACCTGAACCGGAACCACGGCTCCATCCTCTGCAACGGCGTAGACATCAACGAGCTCGACGTCTACGACTACCGTCGGAACCTCTCCCTCGTGCCGCAAGAGCCCATCATGTTCCGCGGCACGGTCCGGGACAACATCCTCTTCGGCATCGACGACCCCAGCAGCATATCGGACGAGAGGATCCACGAGGTCTGCATCGACGCCTTCATCCACGACTTCATCATCTCGCTGCCCGAAGGGTACGACACCGACGTCGGCGCCAAGGGCGTCTCCATGTCGGGTGGCCAGAAGCAGCGCATCGCCATCGCGCGCGCCCTCATCCGCGAGCCGAAGCTTTTGTTGTTGGACGAGGCCACGTCGGCGCTCGACTCCGAGTCGGAGAAGATTGTGCAGGCGGCTTTCGAGAGGGCGCGCGACGGCCGCACCGTCGTCGCCGTGGCGCACCGGCTGTCGACGATTCAGAACGCAGACGTGATTTTCGTGTTTAGCGAGGGGCGGGTGGTGGAGAAGGGAAGCCACGGCGAGCTTATTCGGAAACAGGGCGTGTACTGGGAAATGGTAAGTTGCGCTTCTTCTGGTTCCGCCTAACTTGAATGATCGTGCTTTGCTAACATAAGTTTGTATCAGTGTCAAAGTCAGGCCCTCGACCAGTAGTTTTCAGTCCATGACAGGAGGAAGGGCGTAGGAACGTTGTAGCCGAAAGTGAACGAAGTGTATAAGTAGAAGTCTCAAACCATCCTCATCAAACAGACAGCGTTGTTGGAAATGTACTGCGTTTTTGTTCAGATTCATTGTCGGGGGTATCAAACTAGCATATTTAGAGACGTCACTTTGAATCGCATCTAGAAACATGCCTCTCTCTCTCTTGCAGTCTCTCAGCACGGCCTGCCAATCGGTAACCTCGTGTCCATGTCACCCTGAGCCACGGCATTGAACAGGTCCAAGATGAGCAGTCCGCTATGTATCGTGAGGGCCTGCCGCTTCCACTGGGCCTCCCCGCCATCTCTGGGGATATCGGCTGCCTCTTCCACCAGTTGCCACTTTTCGGTCACCTCATCTCTCTCCATGTACCGCAGCACGACGCGGTCGCCGCTGTCCTCGAAGACGAACTCGCGGCGCCACAGCCGGCGCCACTGTTCGTCGGGCGTGCCGACGGCGTTCACCAGCTCGACGTGACGGTTCCGCAAAGCCAGGGCGTACAGGGCGCGGATGCTCCATATGCCGTCCTGGCCCGGGTACTCCTTCAAGATCCACATGGCCTCGTCGCGCACGAGGGGGTCGCGGCAGAAGAGGGAGATGATGAGGAGGCACCAGCTCAGACTGCACTGCAGAGAGAGGTGGTGGGCCGGGTTCGTCTCGAACTCCTTCTTGGCGGCCCTCGTGGCGATGTGCGCGAGGGAGATGTACTCGCGGTACAGCGGCGTTAGGGCGCGGGCGCTCGCGTCTTGGATAAAGGAGGGCACGTTGCTGAAGATGTAGACGCCCATGAACTCGATGCGCAGGAGGATGGCGCGGAGGTAGGTCGGGGATCCGATGTCGGCTTGCATGATTTGGTTGAAGAGGGGTTGGAAGCCCGCGTTGAGCTTGACCATGGACTTGTGGAAGTTTTCGCAGAAGCTGAGAATGCGAGGGTTCCCAAAGAGCTCGAGGTGGAGTTTGGTGATGGAGACGTCGTCGTCTGCGCTGCTGAGGCCAGACTTTTTGAATGTATCCTCCATGACGGCGCCCATGGCGGCCTGGTGACGTCGGATGGCGGGCCAGATCTGCTCGAACTGTTCGAGAGTACCGAAAGAGTCAGGATACGATTCTGGCGAATTGGCGGCTTCGCTCTGCGTCTGATTGAGGAGCATCATGAAGGTCTCCATTGTTTGATTTGTACTCTGCAGGCGCTTTGCGAGGTTTGGCAGGGGCGGACCATCGAGGATACGACCCCTGAAGACGGTGCGTGCCTGCTTTGCCAGGTGATTGAAAACATCTGCCACGGCACTGATGACGGGCATCGGATTAGGGGCTAGGTCGGCTAGGCGATGTTGGGCATCTGTGTCCGTCACGATGGCGAGGAGAAGGGACAGAGCGTGGTTGACGTGGTCGAGGGCGGCTTTCCTGTTGCCCCTGAGAGTCTCGAAGAAGAGGAGGAGGACAGATAGAAAGACGGCGTCCTGGGCGGAGGCCCGTCTACACTGCATCTTGAGAGAGTCGCAGTAGTGGGCTACAGCCTGGAAGTAATGGATGTCTCCTTGGGCGGTTGGCTGGTCGGGTACGGTGATGGCATGGAGGGAGATATGGGCGGACTGGCGGTACCACACGCTCAAGGCGCCGATGGCCATGGCGGCGGAGCGGAGAGTGCCATTGTTGCGGGACAGCTGGGGCAGCATGACTTCCCACAGATCGCCAGTAGAGGCAGCTCTCATCCAGGGGCCGCGAACCAGGCCGACGAATTCCTTGAAGTAGGTCATGCTGTGGTCATCGCGGAAGTCGACCGTGTTGATGTGCAGTTTCGTCTGCGCCGTGGGCGATGCTACTGCTACTGCTGATACTCGAGGGATGATGGCCTGGGTAGAATCCCAACAGAGCTCTGCGGGCCCTGAGGACTTTTTGTTCTTCTTCTGATCCAGGAGATAACCTTCACAGTGGCCGCGGGTCTGCAGACAGTTGCCGCAATGTGGTTTGGACTCGTCACATTTGATGTGACGTTTCTTACAGGTAATGCACCCGGTGCGTACCTTGCGTGTGCTTGTACGTGATAGCTTCACCTTAGTGACACGGACAACTGGCTTTTGCTCGGGGGCCGCGTTGGAGTCCGAGATGATGGACCTAAGGATGTCAGCTCAATTCTTGTGATTGATGCCGGTGCTTTCGTTCCTCTTCTTACCCTTGAGGGCTGATGGGTAATATTGCCTTGTATTCTGCCATGGCGGTACGTCCCCGCGATAAGCGTTGGTTGGCATCTTTTGAGAACGTAAGTCGATCAAGGTGATTATCTGTCGGTATGATGACAGCGTGAAGATGCCTAGTTCCCCGTCCCACTTTTACCCGTCTGACGACGTTCGGTGAACCAGGTTGGGCTCTTGGAATCTAGGACTTTGACTAAGAAATGTGATAGACTGACAGGTGTTGCCAGATGTCTTCCGAAGTTGCCGGCTGTCAATGAAGAGATACCAAAGTCCATTCGGCTCTCACATCTATCAACTTTCTGTCGGTCTTCCCAGTTGGAGACGGGATGGCCATTAACTTCGGCTCGATGTGGGCAGTTGCTATTAGATGGGATGGTACGGAATATCAAGCACTGAGACCCTATGGTTCTGTTATAGCGAGAAAGTCCTGTGTCTTACAGGCAGTACCTTACTGATAGCCTTGCATGACCAGGAGGCAATGCTCCGGTAATAACTGCGCTAAAGTTGGTCGACTGGTATCTGTACACTGAGACTGCAATGCCAGAAGTTTCTCAACAAAGCCTTAGAAGTTGTGAGGTTTTCTTTTGCCGGAATGATCAATGAGAAGATATGTTGTTTGCAGAATTAAGGTCCAGGAATGCAGTCAGAACCAGCCCCGGCGCCTACTACCCAGGGCCCCTGCATTGTAGGCGGGGAAGCAGGCGCTTTGCTTGCATAGGTACCTGCAGATGTCACGCCGGCTCCCTGCTCTGTGGCTTTCTCAAGACTTCTTTCCGTCGTCAAGACTCGCACACTCAATACTTTCTCAACCGACTTCTCCTGCAGTTAAAGACTTTCTTCCAAGACATAACTACTGCACAGGTGCGTAGGTGCCTCATCGTGTTGTTCGCTGTGTGACAATAGTTGCCAGCGACACTACAACACCTTGGAACGGGATGAGCAAATCGAGAGGCTGCTGATCATTCAATTCACACATCAAAGCCTCGCTCGCATTTTTGCAGAATAACCCCGCCGGAAAACGGCACCATAACAACTCGGTAAACAGTAGTGAGCGACAGTGTTATGGCCCGAATGGAATGTCCCGCATACATAGAGATGAGGTGTTTATGTTGGTCATCCGGGAGGGGGCATCAATGATGGTGGTTGCTGGAAAATACGGGGGAGGGGCGCCACAGCCTGGCCGGACGACAGCGACAGGGACATGGGGACAGAAAATAGTGGGTGTAGACTGCTAAATATGGCAAGCCAGCAGGGACCCGGCCATCCCAGTTGGGAGCAATGGAAAGGCCCGGGACGCCGGTAAAATAGGATGGCAGCCGTGATTGGGCCGGTGTTTCGACCGGGCCTGCCCCGAATGCCTTGCCCTGTGCCCGGCGTGACCTCATCGCCACCGTCGTTCCAGGGGCAAGACCATACCCTATAGCACACTTTTGTATGGTGCTAAGCTTGTTGTGTACATAGAGAATACGGGCCACACCAGTGACCTCACCTTGGCTCGTTCCTGCATGAGACTGCGATGACTGTGTTGTTGTTTCTCAGGAACCTATGGTGGCGCCCTCGATGTTGTTTTGATGGAGTGAGGGCATGAGGAAGAGACACACTAGTGCTGTCAAGTTGGTGTGTGGTGGCACCACTCAATTGGCTTCTTTACTTGCCTCTTTCAGACTTTTACACCCGTCCCGTCCTTCAAGGTTTTTCTTGTTGAGACTCGAGAGTGAAGAGCTTTCCCAAGAAAAGAAGATAGAGAGGCCCAAAGAACAGGGAACCCTGTAGGACACCACCCCCAACTTCCCAAGCTTGTGATGTGATCTAGACAAGCATCCCTCCTACTGTCTGGGGAATCCCTCCTTGCCTGCTCTGCCCTTCCCCGTCACTTGCCTTTTCCCTTTTCTACCCTTTCATCGCCCGACTGACTTCATCACTTTTCTTCCTCCCTACCTACCTTCACTGTCACTCACGATACCTTATCTGACCCTCATCCTGCTCTGTACCTACGGGACTCTGGGACAACCTCACTCATCCGTCTCTCGTTTTTGCAATACCTTGGACCTACCTGCCTGACTCTTGTATATTTACCCGTAGTCAATACTCCTCCCAGAGTGCCCAGCCTCTCCTCCAACGGTAACTTTGGACCTTGCCATCAATCTTGGACCTTGCCATCAATTCCAGCCAACTCCCATCATCTCGCCTACCTTGCATCACATCGTCACTGTTGCAACATTGCAAACACTCCTTCGGCATCACAACTATGCGCGCCTCTCTGAGCCTGGCGGCTGTATACGCCGCGGCTACGGCCAGCGCCTTCCAGGGCTTCAACTACGGATCTACCTTCACCGACGGTAAAGCAAAGGCACAGTCAGACTTCGAATCCGAGTTCAAGACCGCAGCTAGCCTCGAGGGCACCAATGGCGCCTTCACCTCTGCTCGTCTCTACACCATGGTCCAGGGAGGAAGCACTAATGATCCCATCTCTGCCATTCCAGCCGCCATTTCCACAAAGACAACTCTTCTGCTCGGTCTGTGGGCCTCTGCCGGTGATGCTGCTTTCGCCAACGAGCTTGAGGCCCTGAAGAAGACTGTCTCTCAGTACGGCAGTCAGCTCAACGGCTTGGTTGCTGGTATCTCTGTCGGCAGCGAGGACCTCTACCGCCACTCGCCTACCGGCATTGCCAACGGCGAATTCTCTGGCGCCGAGCCCAGCACTCTCGTCAAGTACTTTGAGCAAGTTCGAGAAGTCATCAAGAACTCGCCTCTGAGCAGCGCTCCTATTGGTCACGTCGACACATGGACCGCCTGGGTTAATGGCAGCAACAAGGCGGTCATCGATGCCTGTGACTGGATTGGAATGGACGCTTACCCCTACTTCGAGGACACCAAGCCCAACTCCATTTCGGACGGCAAGGACCGCTGGGCCGAGGCTTTGGCTGCCACCCAGGGAGCTGTTGGTGGAAAGCCCGTTTGGGTTACTGAGACTGGTTGGCCCGTCAGCGGCAAGACTGTCGGCGCTGCCGTTCCATCTCTCGAGAACGCAAAGAAGTTCTGGAATGACGTCGGCTGCCCCATGTTCGGTAAGACCAATGTCTGGTGGTACACATTCCAGGACTCTTCTCCAACAACACCCAACCCCAGCTTCGGTGTCATTGGCTCGACCTTGACTACCAAGCCTCTCTACGACCTCTCATGCGACAACATCAGCTCTAGCTCATCAGCCTCGGCCTCGGCCTCCTCCACAAACACCGCGTCTGCTAGTGCCTCTACCCAGGCCAGCAGCGCAGCTTCAGCATCCGCGACTGCAACGGCTACTGCTACAGGAGGTGGATCCGGCTCAGGCTCAAGCCAGCAGAGTTCTGCCGCTGGTACCGCTACGACTCTCTCGACTGTGGTGCCTACTACTGATGGTGGCTCGGGTGGAAGCGGCGGTGGAGGTGCTACTGCGACTGGCACTGCTGCTACCGGCACTGCTACTGGCGGTGCTTCACCGTCTGCCTCTCAGAGCTCTGGCTCCGGCGGTGGCTCCGGAGGTGGTTCCGGCACGGGCCGCCCCGGTACTAATGGAACCGTCAGCGTTCCCACGACAGGACCGACGGTTGTACCTGGCAGCAGTGCAACCACGACGACCTTCAGTGTTGCTGTTCTGGCTGGTGCGATTGTTCTCGCCATGTTGTAAGGATTTCGTGGAGAGCAGAAGAGGATCGGGTCTCAGCATGATCACTATTCACCCTATAATATTCTAATGGTTACTTGGGTTGACTTGGAAATTGGGGGGACGTACCCTTGGGAGGCAGAAACGGATTGGAAGGTCGACCGCTTACGATTGAGCAGCAACTCGTTCTTTTTGCTGCCTGGCTTTGGGTTTACGAGCACATAGTCGAACCCTGGATAATGAGTTGGATGGAAGCACCTCCGCACCATCAAGGCGATTAGAGTCGCCCTAGACGGAGTAGTCATTACGAATGAAATGCCAAAAAGTTTCTTGTTAACCCCTGAGTGTGAATTGCCTCATTAGTTGCTTATTGATTGCAACCAAAGGACCTTCCTCGTTAAATGGTACAAGCCCTTCGGCGCTACCGTGGTCTCGGGGATGCCTGACTGTATCCATTCCAGATAAATTTGGCAGTTTTGCAACATGCTGCTATTCGCTCTTTTCGTACAAAATATTCATATCATTCAGGTACTTGCATGCCAATTTCAGGGGCTGGGCCAGGGAAGCAAGTTCTCAGGAAGAGCACAGTACGCTTCTTCCAAAAGTGGCATTATACAGTGGTGGTGATACAAATTGCTATGATACATTTTTCTTCTTCTTCCCTTGTCTTTTCCCCCCCCTTTTACTCGTCAAGTAGTCCCACGGTCCAGTGGACAATCCGATCGACGCCCTGGCCATTGATGGCGCTGACGGGGATAGCGGCGACGTTGTCCGTCCAGGCGTTTTCGATCCCGCTCGGGTGCGGCGCGGTGCCCTGCTTGATCTCGTCCAGGTAGGCCTTGAGGTCTCGGAAATTTTGTTGGGTCTCGGGGAGGTCGGCCTTGGTGGCGACGACGTACCACGGCTTGGCCGCGATGTGTAGGCCCGATTCCTGCCGGGGCGCCGGCGGTGCGTCGGCGACCATCATGGCGCCGTGCGTCCCTTGCAGAGCGGCGGCCCCGCTTGTGGTGCCTGCGTTGAGGTCCCAGTCGACGCGGGAGTCGATCTCGCGTGCGCGCTCTTCTTCCTCGCGCATCTGCGCGTACAGACCGACTTCGTTCCAGAGGGCCTTGAGAGCCTTGACGGCGGGACCGGCGGAGAGGTCGACGACGAAGGCGAGCACGCCGGCACGCTCGACGTGGCGCAAGAACGCGATGCCGAGGCCACGGTCTAAGTGGGCGCCCTCGATGAGACCGGGAATATCGGCTACCGTAAAGCGGGTCCGCTGCTCGACCAGGACCTCCTCTTCCGCGCCGGGTGATCCGCTGCCGCCGTATGCGGGGTCCGCGGCGGGATACCGCTTGTAGCTCTTGATCACGGGGCGGCCCTTGTAGCTGTCCAAGACGACGGTGCCGATATTCGGCTGCAGCGTCGTGAAGGCCCAGTTACCTACGCGGGTGCGCGAGTTCGTGATGGCGCGCAGCAGGGTGCTCTTGCCGGCGTTGGGTAGCCCCACGAGCCCGACGTCGGCGAGGAGCTTGAGCTCGAGCTCAATCTCCATGGTCACGGCGCGCTCGCCCTTTGTGGCGAAGATGGGCCGCGGGAACTCGCGCGACGTGAAGTGCGGGTTGCCTAGTCCGCCGATGCCGCCGACGGCGAGTAGAATGGGCTGCGGAGACGGGCGCGACAAGTCGAGCTGGATCGGGCCGGGTGGTTGATGGTAGAGACGCTGGCGAGTAGGGGCTTTGGGAAGGGATATCGTCTTCAGATCCGACTTTGAGAGGCCAGGGTACAGAAGGAACTTGCTGCGATCGGGGTCCTCGGGCTCGTCGAATTCATCCTCGGCCTGCTTTTTCGCTTTCGCCTCCCTTTCCGCCGCCATCTCTTCATCCTCCTCTTCAATGCCTTCCTCCAACTCTCGCCTCGCTTGCTCCGCTAACTCAGCCTGACGGGCCAATTTGGCCTTCTTCTCGGCCTTCCTTTGCGCTTTCATAGCGCGCTGCATGATCGCATCCTCGGCAATGGGGTCTTCCCTGGCCAGCTCGCGGACAACAGTACCAATCGGCACGGTGATGATGACGTCCTCGCCTCGCTGACCACCCTTGGAGCTGCCCTGACCAGACTTTCCTTTCCCTGCTCGAATGAAACGCCGCCTAGCTAACTTGTGCAGGGACGTCTCACCGTGTACAGCCTGGATGTAGATGTTGCCTCCATGGCCACCGTCGCCACCGTTGGGGGGTCCGTCGGGGAGGTATGCGTCGCGGAAGAAGGAGATGCAGCCGTGGCCACCGGGGCCCGCGTAAAGTGTCACTGAGGCTTTATCGGCGAAGATGGGTTGGGAATAGTCGTCGGGAGCTGGGTTGAGTCTGGTGGACTTTGATTCTTGAGCTACCTGGGTGGAGCTATGGCGGCGACTATTTGCAACCGCTCTCGCAGCAAGACGAGGCGTGGTGGTGCTCTTTGAAAAAAATAAAGAGGGGTACAGAAACGGGAGCAACACCGTATGCCCACCCGAACATCTTGGCGCCATGTTCGTCTCTCGTTCGGCACCGTGTGATGCCGATCGTCGTCGTCGTTGTAATCGCAGCCGTTAGGGTTGTCGCCGAGTGCCCGCGATGCGAACAGATGAGACGACCTCGAAATTTTGGACGCTTCCATCCCATCTGAGGTAAGGTAAGGTACGTGCCTCAACTTAGCTGCGACGATAAGATAAGAAGACGAGATTACATAATGTGGCAGGGGCGGGAGCAACCGTTGTGAGACCAGGATCAACGACCGGACGGGATTGTCAAACTGGCCAGTGCCCAAATCATTGGGAAACAAACTGGGGCTGACATATGAAATCCGGCGGCGTGCACTGCCTCGTAAGCTCCCGTAGAGTTGGCTGGGGAAGATGGGAAGACTGAAAAGGGAAATGGGAGCTCGCTTGTCCTTTCAGCCTCTTCGACGTCACTCCTTCATCTCTCGACTTTGAGATGCGGCTCCAAGAGGGGCCAACTGTGAGGCAAATTATTTCGACCGACCCAGACAGAGAGGTATGACAATGCTACTGCAGCTTACCAATGATGGCTTGCCACAGCTTCTCTACGAGTCCATAATCTGACAGAAAGGGGATTGTTCGGTTATGTTCTGCGCGCCTGCAGCGGGCTCTAATCGAGACGCGAGGTGCATGAGGTAGGGCAATATGCGGTGAGCCAACCAGCCTAGTCCCATGACCCAGCACATTGTAGGGACATTGGCAAAACAGCACCCATCGCCGGAGCAAAGAGGATCTTGCTGAAGGTAGTCGCGTATGCATAGGTATTCGAGTGAGGGATGTCGATATGGCGTTGGCAGTGCTCCGTACCTATGGTAGGTAAGGTAAGTAAGGCAAGTTAAGGTAAGGTAGAGTTGGGCCGGGTCCTGGACAGGCGTTCGTTGGCGTTCTGGAAGCGCACGTTCGGACGTTGCATCAGATGGAACCAGTTGGGTCCCAGCTGATCGATAGGTATACAATGGTTGCTCGCCCCCTCCTTCCTGTAGTGTGGACTGGTTCGTCTCTTGTGCATCAAACTTTCCCTCAATGAAGGTGGGTGGTGGTGTTGATGGCCTGGTACCTACGCAGTTTGTCCTAAGTTGGGTGATGAGGAGCATTGGAAGGTGCAGACCAGCCACCCCACCCCGCCGGTCGTCTCGGCCTGCAAACGCTGACCCGCCCGACTTCTCCTGCCCCTCTCCGCTTTCTTTCCTCTTCGGTGTCTCCCGTTGGACCATCGGCGGTGTCTTAGTTCCCCAGTGGTTGTATCCGTAGAGCATACGGAGAAGGAGGTAGGGAGTACAGGTACCTAAGGTAATGGAAGTGGTTCACCCAACCTCCTGTCCTGTAAAGTACCCCCGCTTCACTGCAAACCGCCCCGCGACTTCTTTTGGCTGCAGCTCTCCTACTTGCGGCCTGTCCTTGCCCGTTCTTCTCCCTCCTCCCCTGGCCCTTGACCGCCTTGAAGCCCAAAGCTAAAGGCGGGAACGGCACCGGAAGGACAAACGAGGGGCGGCGACAACGCACACACATAATCTGCCCCTCCACTCATTGGCCTGAGGTGCTTCTCATTGCTCTCTCTCTCTCTCTCTCCCTCTCCTCTCGCCTACCGACTGACTGCAATTTTTTAACAATTTTCTATCGTCTTCTACCATCCATCCCTTCTCTTCCGGCCCGTCACCTTTGGCAAACAGACGTCTAGACCTACCTTGCCTACGTATACCTCAAGAAACAAAAGCCCGCCTCTCACTGGGTCCCCGATCGAAGCTCATTGAGACTAGGTCGGGTAGACGACCTCTCTCGCTTGGCGTCCCCTTCATTGGGCCATCGTCAGACCCCCCAAGACTTGCATATCGGGAGCTGCTGGCATTCGAGCCACGACACTCACGCTGCAGTCAAAACCCCCCTTCCCATTCGATCCTCTCTTCATCTACCTGCGTCCTCGTGGATCAAGCTATCTCTCTCCCCACGTCTCCTCCGCATCCTCTGCTTCTGCTTCTGCTTCTGCTCCTCTCGTTGAATGAGAGCCCGCCGTTTGTCTACCACGACCGCAACTACGACTTCGTTACTCTCCATTCGACTTTCTCTGTTGCTTGCACGCTTAGGAAGCCTACCTTAGTCTGCTTCTCGCTGCTCGCCTGCTCACTTGCTTGCTTGCCTTATTGTCTCATGCTTCGATGCTGCAGGATACATAGCACCAACACACAGGAGCAACTCGCTTTATTCGTCCTAGTTTTGTTTATTCCCAACTACCTTACGGATATTCTCTCCCTCACTCTCGCACCCTACCGCCGACGCTCTGCCGGGCTGTAACCATCCGGCCCCTCTTAATAATCTCTTAAGTCAGGTCAGTCCATCACCGCTTTCCTCTCTCTTCTCTTCTTCCACTACCTCTGCCCTGGCTGCCGAGCCTCATCCCCAACCCCAATCTCTCCAAACACTCTCCATGAGACCCAAGCTCAGGGTCTCGGGAGAAATAATGACATCTGTACTAGTAATAGATGACCCATCTTGACCTCCTTGTACAATATCCTCTCATCTTCACCTCTTCTCCACTTCCGCTAGAGACAGACCACTCGTGTCTCATCTGGTGATCCCTTCGCTAAGATGTATTCATATTCCCACAGAGACTACAGGCCGCGCACTCCACGCACTCCGCGTGTGCGCAAGACTACCACAAGGATGGATCCGGACTGTGCTATATGCCACGCCCCTGCCTCCGCAGCTTGCGACTGCGAGGCCAAGGGACTTGATGTTGCCATAAAACAGGCTGAGCAGCGCATGATGCAGTCTATATACACCGACATTCGGTATGAACGACTTTTCATCTTTACCTATGGAGGACACATTTCGCTAACTATACACACAGGAGCTGGGTTCGGGCTCACGCGCAAGACTACATCCTGGAATATTTTCGTCTACTCACCGAGCGCCGAAAGACAGCTCACGCCGCTAACCTCGAACGCATCAACGCCACCGCATACCATTACTACCACGCCCCTCCTCATCCTAGCGAGCTTGCCCAGGCGCAGGCTGCATTGAAGCACGGCATTGACGAGGATTGGCAATCTAGTGTGCAACGATATCCTGAAGTCCTCGAGTATTTCTTCAGTCTGGTCGAGCTGAACGTCCCTCCCGATGATGACCCTTTTGTCAAGGATCCCCCATTGAGCGCCCTCAGTGGCGGGTCCAAGAATAGATCTGGAAGAAGAATTGGAGGAGGCGGGCCTCCTCCAGGCGGACCTCCGGCCATTGCTGCGCCTAGCAGTCATGACAGAGGTCCATTTGGGAGAGCAACACCACCGCCGCCCAGCATGGACATGCCTCCGATGCCTAGCAGGATGGGCGGGAGAACACCGGCCTTGAGGGAAAGAGAAAGAAGGTCAATGCCACCCATGCCGCATATGGGACCGCCCATGGGACACCCTGGACATCCCGGAGGACCACCGCCTGGATATGGACGAACCGCACCTCCAGGTGCCGGTGCATACTATGGATGGGGTGGGCCCCCATGAAAGCCGAGATCGACGAAAGAGACCATCCAGAGCTAGAAGCTCCTGAAGTTCGAATATCATATTGGTACGAATCACGGCGTCTTTGCAATTTTCCTACGATGTTATTTTGATGAGACCCACGAACTGCATCAGCGGTCTTTTTTGGTGTATTGAAGCGGGACAAGCAGGCATATATGCATTGCAAAGCGTAGCGGTAGCCTTGGAGAACCCACGGTTTTTTACGCATTTGCTCTTTACTATATTCGAGACAACCCGGAATTTGTGATCGAGTCTCGTACGTTTGTATCCTTTTTGAGGGTTTCATCCTGTTCCAGTCTCTTTGGTTGGGTAGGCACCGGAGTACGGATCACGGAAAGAGGGCATTCTTTGGCATTTGCGACGGCGCAGGCCGGGTACTATTTCATTTTCCTCTTCTTGGATGTTACGGGAGGAATTCTCTACAGGATCAACAGCCCTCAAACCAGTGGTCGCTAGAGCAACAATCCATAAACCATATAAAATATCGTCTCACGTATCATGCAACTTCGTGACCGGATCTGTGGTGAAAGACTGGGAGGGGAAGCGAGAGGACCGATCGATGATCATCATTCTGCACGCATCATTCTGCACGCAAAGGACGTCATGAGATTGCACCATGGGACCTCGAAGCGTTACTACCGAGGCTACACGCGCACCACTCGTCTCGTGCCATGATACCTCCGCGACGTGTTTGCTCAAACTTCAAAGTCCCCCCAACCGCACCCCCAGGAATCGTTTCCAGCACGTCACGTCATGACATGCCTCGCCCGCTGCGCAAGCACGCCTGCCCGACGAGGACAGCCCGAGATACAACAGGCCAATCAATGGACGTCGACGGCTGGGCTATATTGGCTTTGTTGATGTAGAGATGAACCTACCAGGTGGGATGATTACGCTGGGCAGCCCTGTTCTGATGGGGAGCTGAGCAGAGCCGTTCCCATGCTTTGATCAAGCTCTCTCATCTCTACTTTGGAACGAAGTCGTTTCCTGTAACCAACACACAGGGAGGGAGTGGCCGACATCATCTGGTTCGAACATCATGGTCAAACTCCAATCTCCGTCCCGACATGTGCGTTTGGTCGGTGAGGGCACAGTCGACAAGTGAAAACCTGAAACGGTTGTGGTTTTTTTATAAAATCGAAGAAAAAGCTTCTCTCTCTCTCTCTTTTTACCTCTCATTTTTGTTTTCAAAGTGTATGGCTGGAACTACAAACGGTACAAGAGGGGAGGGGGGAAGAAAGCTGCTAAGTACAAGAAAGCCACTTTGCCTCGAGGGACAAATTTGGCTAGGAAGACGCAAAAACAGGCCAGAGAGTTTATAAAAAGGTTTTGCAATCTTCCCCTCCCCCCTTAGTGTTTTGATTCCGAAAGAAGTTTCCTTTTTTCCTCTTTTTAAATGCCAAGGGTGGTGCTTTTTGTAAGAAAGGGGTGTGTCGTATGCGTGTATCGGTTGGGAGGTGTGTGTTGACAAAGAGGCAGAGAGGTGAGAGAGTTCACGTTCCCCCCAGTCCATAATATCTGCGCGAGGACGTCAGGCAGATAAGACAGGCTTGAGAGTCAGTGGGTTTCAGTCAGGCAAAAGTTGTATACGGAGTCAGTGAGTGAGAAGACTATGCCTTCTCCTCGACGGAGGTCTCCTTGAGGTCCTTGGTGACCTCCTCGACCGAGTCGCCGTTGCTGACACCGTTGGCCTCGTCAGCCTCGAGCTTCTCGAGCTGCTTCTTCGCCTTCTCAATGTTCTGAAAGTTGGGTCAGTATGCAAAATGGAGAGATAATCAAACAATGATTGCAAAGGAGAACTTACGCGCTGAGTCTGGGCCTCCTGGTCGCTCTTCCAGTGGTCGAGCTTGGCCTTGACCTTCTCGGCAACGGCGGGGACGTCGGAAGCGGCCATAGGGGGATCGATGCCCATGAAGGCGCAGTCCTCAACAACGGAGGGCGGGCAGTTGAACTTGCCGGCCTTGTCCTCGGTGGCACCACCCTTCTTGCCCTTCTTTCCCTTCTTGACGGCAGGGAAGAAGTCCTCGTCGCGGTCCTTCTTGGAGACGACCTTCATACCCTTGATTCCCGAGTCGTCAACAGTACGCGAAGCCTGAGCGGTGAGGCCGCTGGCGGCCTGGAGAGGGGCCTTCTCGACCTTGTGGGTGGGGTCGAGGAACTGGAGGAGGCTGTTGGCGCGGCGGATCTCCTCGAGGTAGGCGGGGTCGCTGGCGTCGGCGAGGAACTTCTCGGCATCAGCCTTCTTGCGCTCCTTCTGGTAGCGCTCGGCCTCATTCTTCCTTCTCTCGCGGGCCTTCTCGCGAGCCTCGCGCTCGTGGGCCTGAGCCGCCTTGCGCTGCTGCCAGTACTCATCCTTGATGGTCTTGAGGGCGGCGTACTTCTCGTTCTGGAGGTTGTGCAGTCTAGTGCGCTCGTCACGGAGGGAAGAGAGGTTCTTGTAGGCCTCGTCGCCCTCGGCCTTGATGGCGTCCAGCTCGGCCTGGATCTTGTTGTACTGCTCAGACATGGCCTTGGCCTCGGGGTCTTCCATCGAGTCCTTGATCTCCTTAATCTTGGCCTTGAGGTCGTCAATGGACTTCTGAGAGTCGTCGAACTGGGAGAAGTTCTTCTTGAGCTTGCGAAGAGAGGAGATCTCGGCGAGGGCCTTCTTCTCGTCGACAATCTTCATGCGGCCAGAGTTGACCTCGGAATCGAGCTTCTCGATCTGACGGTCGACCTCCTCGACGCTCTTGAAGTTGACCTTGGAGCGGGCGGTCTTCTGCTCGTTGATGCGGGAGCGCATTTGCTCGTCAAGGCGCTTGATCTGGTCGAGCTTGGAGGTGCGGGCGTTCTTGCCGGCGCCCTGCTTCTGGCGAATCTCGTTGGCCTGAGCAATGAGCTCGGCGCGACGCTTCTGGGTGGGAGATTGCTGCTCCTTGTTCTTGTTGGGCATGGCAATCTCGATCTTGGCCTTGATGGCGCTCTAGGGGAGGAATTGTGTGAGCCATTTGCGATCCAATGGCAATGTGTCATTTCCGGGTATCTGGTGCTCGGCTGCGATTCTCCCAGTCGGGAAAGGGATTCGAGGAACAAGTCGCCAATGGAATTGGAGATGAAACTTACCAGCTGGTCGAGGGCCTCCTTATGCTCCTTCTCAGCGACCTTGAGCTTCTTCTGGTACTCGGCCTCGTCGGGCATGGTGGGACGAGCTGACTTGGTCTCGGTCTTAGTCTCTGCTGCCGCAGGAGCAGCAGCAGGTGCCTGCTTGGTGTCGGCCATTGTGAAGGTAGGGAGGAGCTTGTTAATTGATGCAAAAGATGATCAATTAAACAAAGCTGGCGAATGCGCACACTGCCGTAGTCGGGGTGGACAGCAAAGTCGGATTGGTGATGTGGAGGATGGAGGACGGAGAAGTGGAATCGGAATTAACCACGCGAAGGGTGAACTTTTCGTTAAAAGGATCCCCCAATTTTGTTGAAATTCACTCTTTTGGGTTCCGTGGCAGGTACCTTCTCCAGAAGGTAAGGCCACCTGCCATCCTGGACTTTGACTGTGGGGTTCACCTCAAAGGTGGCACGTGCGTGTACTGGGACTCTGGACCCTTGAAAGGCCCGTGGCAGCCGTGGCTGGAGCGTGCACCTTGCACCTGCCACCTAGGTGGTTAACGCTGCTGGGGATCTGTCAGTTCAGAAGTAGGGTACGTACCTCATCTTCAAGTCCAGAATGTTCCGGGCTGTCTCTGTCTCGGATTAACCTCTTCCAAGTTATTCCAGAAGAACCCGACTGCTTTCCGGGACCGAACCAGGATTAAGCAATCGGAGTCCAAAGGCCCCACTCAAACTTTTGCTCTGGCCTGCAAGGCTGATTCCGCCGCCAGAACTTTTTGGCTGAATCTGTTTTGCGACGCCAATCCTTTTTGAGGTTCTCGAACTTTTCGTCGCGACAAGAACCAATCCACCACCGACGCCCTCATCTGGATCTACCCAAATTACCCACGACGACAGAGGCATCGCTACTGACCCACGAATTCGACGGAAGAGTTTTCAACGACGCAGCATCGCGAAGATGTCGGACCAGAAGGACGTCAATAAGGAGGTCACCAGACTGTGGAGAGCATGGAGGACAGCCCACGAGATGGCTGCGGACCGCGTACGGACTCCCTGATCTTCCATCGATGAGGAACATCATGCGAATGATGCTATCTTTACCCCGGCGGACGATGTACTTCTTGGCGACATCTGTGCTGATGACGGATCGCAGGGCTATGAACTCGCCGAGGACGAACTCACAATCTCTCTCGACCGCTTCAAGATGGAGTACACCAGCGCCGACGGCAGCGTCAAGTACGTCTACCCTTGATCTATCAAAGTCCTCAGTACTAACATCATGGCCCCCCTCAGCCGTGGCAAGCTCCAGTTCTCCGCGAACCCCTCCGCCGACATGATCCGCAAATTCACACCCCCCCCGACGCCCAACAACCCGAACCCGACGCCCGACTGCGGCACCCTCTGGGTCGAGTTCCTCGCCGACACGACGTTCGGCATCAAGGAGATCAAGAAGTTCATCCACCACCTCATCAGCAACAAGTACTCGTCCGGCATCATGGTCACCCACGTGCCCCTCTCCCCCGCCGCCCGCAAGATGCTCGTCACCATCGAGTCCTTTGCCAAGGTCGAGTGCTTCCTCGAGGACGACCTGCTCGTCAACATCACCCAGCACGAGCTCGTGCCCAAGCACATCCTCCTCAGCCGCGAGGAGAAGATTGCCCTCCTCAAGCGCTACCGCCTCAAGGAGACGCAGCTGCCGCGCATCTTGCAAAAGGATCCCGTCGCAAAGTACCTCGGCCTCAAGCGCGGGCACGTCGTCAAGATCATCCGCACCTCGGAGACGGCCGGCCGTTACGCCAGTTACAGATTGTGCGTGTAAAGAACGGGGTCTAGCGCATGTGGTTGGGGGGAGGCGAGACATGAGATAGAGGGGGAAAAGCGGGAGGGACGGGGTCGACGTGGGGGCCGGGATTGGGGACTCACCTTTCCGGCAGGATGACTTGACGCCCTGGTAGACGGGGGAAAGGGAGTTCTCAGTATACTCTTTGCATCACTCTTGAGTCTGGCGTTGAGGGTACGGCTACGGTCTGCTGTTTTGTGTACGACAACCAAAAAAAGAGATGGAGGGCTTCCTCTGCATGGACAATATAACTAACTTACTTTTTTTTCGACATCGTTTTGTTCTCCTTGGGGGCCACGTCTCGTTATTTTGACTGATTAAGTGAGATACGATGTGAGTTAAATACAGTCGTCACTCCTTCAGCTTTGCCCGGGGGGGGGGGGGGGGGGGGAGACGATAACGGAATCGGTACCGTTATGGCTGATTCCGCAACCCTCTGAAAGTCTATGCTACATGTCGATTCAATGTTCATCCATCACCAGAGACTCTGAGACCGGATTGGCCAGCCATTGACAGAAAATGTTCCTCAATTGTACAAGGGACTGAACCGAGTTCTTGCAGATCCGGCAGTCACCCAATGCCATGTTGTCGGAAGCATCCTCACTCGATGACGTTGAACGACAATCTCCAAGGGCAGTGAATTTAGAGAAGCCTCCACAGAAACACTGCCTGGTGCCTATTCTCAGCTACTTCGCAAGGCCTCCGGTGCCCAAGTCCCACCTTCGTCAACAACACCTTTACAAAGTTTTGCAATCTAACCCACTCATCACATGCATATTTTCTCTGAACGACGTAAACATCGCAACATCATCCTTATCATGTGTCTCGATTCGCAGCCAACCTCACTGGCCTCGAAACAAAACCAACAGACTGAAAAGCATCCGAGGTACTCACCTTCTTCTGGGCTACTCATTCGATACATCTTCATCTCTGGTGAAACGGGGAGCCTAGTCCCGGGTAGAGGGGAGGGAGGTGTGCGAGGACGGAAAATCTTCACAAAACCCGTGATACCATCCGCGTCTAGAATCGAAAGCTCCATAATACTGATAAATTTGCAGAGATAGAGGACAGGGACCAAGACGTTGGATGAACACCCTACGCGTCACCACCGGATGAGCTTCCTATATCTTATCAGATAACCGATCATAACCTAGGAAACATAAAAGCCCCCTCATCCACCGCGTATAATTTTCAGTAGATATCCTCCACAAAGGGGAGAAGGATATAGATATGGAGGTGCTAATATATGGCATCAACACCTCTGTACAATCTATCAAAGATCCCCCCTCTCCTATCCATCTTCAACACGTGCCATGTGGGCTCCCATGTACCGCGTATATCAACAGCCTCCTGATCGTTTTAGTCAGGAATACTAAACCCCTAGGTTGATCGCCCTCCACAAACCCAGCAACCTCCTCACCAAAACAGGACTCCTCAATATACAAAGTGATTCATGCTTTCCTGTCCCGAACCATACCCACGACGTAGTAGGATTCTCGGGCCAGCTCTGAACCCAGCTCTGAACTCAGGGATAAAGCACGGAGTGCGGAGTCTGAAGTCTGGAATGTGAGGTTAGGGATTCCTGAACCTCCAAAAAAAGGGGGGAAGAGTCAGGCGCCCAGCGTCAAGCGGCCGCCATCGAGTCAGGCAGACACAGATAGATCAACAACCGCGATAGAACAGATAGAGCAGTCAACCCGTCGGTCCTCGGAACAACAACCACAAAGCAGGGAAAAGAGAATACCAAGAAAAATCAAAAGGAAAAAATCGTAATTGGCCAAGAAAACTCTAAAGAAAGGATACAAGAACCATGGTCACGGTACACTCGTGCCTCAGGGGTAATTAAAGAAGGGATTCTGCCGGCAGCGGGCAGAATGCGACAAGAGTCAGTCGTTGACGTTTTGTAGGGAACAGGGTCGTCGGCCGAGATGCGCGACAAACGTCGTGCAGGGACCAGGCATCATGGAAAGCGCCTTCCGGGACCGAGCTTCTCGCATTGCTGCAGTTGCGGGAAAAAAGCAAGCGGACATGATTAAGAAGGGGGGGAAAGTGCTATCGATAAAGAGTCATTGGTCATTCATTCTTTGTAGATGGTGATGATATTGGAACAAGCTGTTCAGGTACAAAACATGACGGCTATTTGCGCCGGGGTATATATAACGATAAACAGCGAAGCAAAAAACGACGGCGTTCAGATATCATCGTGAAGGCCGCTCCGGGGATTTCCTCCAACGCCCGTTTCCCGTTGGTCGTAAATAGTTCTTTCCTCCAAAAATTCCAAAACGTAAAGTATGGTCGTATCCGGTCCCCCATTGACCTATAGAAACGCCGGCCAAAGGCTCTAAACCTCCATAACTCCCCATGTCCAAAAAGAGCCCCCAGCAATGTCGCCGAGATCGTCAATATACATATACATGTACTGTCTCATAAAATATAGTCGTAGTTTCGTGGTCGTAACGTGTTGAAATTAGGTGATTGTGTGGTATGTCACAGGTCAGCTTCTGCGTAGTTGTTGCCAAACTACTTGAGTAAGCCACCAGGATCGATAAGTGTTGGCTCGCCGGGGCGAGGGTTGTAAGATGGATGATCATCGTGTTGCGATTGAGGAATGGGTTGCAATTCCGTGCCAGTCCTGGATCTTTGTCGCGACGGTTTCGTGGGCCCCAAAAGCCCGCCAAGATCTTGCAAGAGTGCTGTTGATCCGCGACGTAAACCATTCGATCCGGCGGGTAGGGTGGGTGACGGGACACCGTGGACGCTAGATGCCATAGGGTCCACGCTTGAGACAATGCTGTCCCTGCGGAATGTCTGGCCGACTCCAACCTGTTCCTCTGATAACAAACCCCCGACGTCGAAAAAGGAGACCCTGCGCGGTGTCGTGGTCGAGTTGCTCCTTGAGGAGGAAAGGTCGTGGGGTAAGAGAGAAGCGTCGCTGCGTTCGGCATTGCTTCGTTGCCGCTGAGGGAATTGCCACTGTCTCAGCTCCTCGCCAAACGGTTTGGCCATTGGTGCGGGAGTGTACCGTTGTTGTTCGTTGTCGAACTCGTCCCGTTCCTCATCGCGTTCTCGTAGGTCAGGATCAACACCAAGGCCGACATCTCGGACGAGATCTTCGTCACTTCCCCAATGACGATGGAGAGTGGGACGGCGCGAGTCGGAGCCTCTGCGATCTATTGAATCTTCTGCCACAGAGCCGTACTTGAACTTTTGTTTCTTCAAGCCGCGATCACGAACAAATGAGCCCAAGACTAGGGCATTTGCAGCCGTTGTTGCGAAAAGGAGCTCAACGGATGCCAGCACGGAACGCAGCTGCTGTTTGCCATGTGCCCTCATGACATGGGGGACACGATAAATAGTAACACCGACGACGGCCAGGCTAAGCGAGAAGAGCAGGGTGAGCTGAATCTTTCTCTTCACATTCATCTGACTGCGCAGAATAATGGGAATCGGGAAGAAGACCAGTAGCAAGTCGGTGATGATGTTACAAGTCGCCATGGTGAGGAGGTGAGCGAACCCTTGGCGGCATTGACCACCCGGGTCAGGAGTAACCTGCCAGTAGTGATTAAAAGGCCGACATTCCGCCAAATCGCTAATGATAATGGCGATGAAGGTTGCGACCAAGGTGCATCTGATGAACACCAGCGTCTGTTCGTAGGAACGTGCCCAAGTGACGCCAGTCAGACGCTTGAAGAACTCTAAAATAGTGTTCTTGAGAATCCACAGTCTGCACAGACAAAGCGTTAGCAAGCTATCCTACCGTCCCACTGGATCCAGTGATGAAATTGCTGCATAAAGTGTTGCGGGCGCAAGGCGAAAAAAAGTACAAGAATAAGAAATGAAAAGGGAACTCATGAAGGGGATTCCGTTACGTACGTTGCTGCGTAGAAGATTCGGCTGGCAAGCACGAGACCACTTGCGATTTCCTTCCTGCGCTCGACCTCCGCGGATAATGCGATGCCGTCAAATTCGGCATTGTTAGTCCCGTAGAGCAAGACAAAATGCACGCAAACCATGCGGAGCCATAGAGGGATCAGGGCGAGTGCTGCGACTTTGTCCTCTTGAAATAATTTTTCGGTTCGAATGAAGCGGCCGGCAACCCGCAGTAGGATAATAACAGTGCAGAATGAGGTTATCCACCAACAAACCAATAGCGAGGGCTTGTCCTGCGAGGAACTGCGCAACTCGGGTGGCTCAGTATAGAGGCTCATGATGGACTGGAGCAATCCACGCCCGTCGACCTCCGCGGAGGGCACGACGAGCGAGGAAAAGGATGCGTCGTCGAAGGTCGAGACGTGACGTAGCGGGCGGGTCGAATTTCGTGCAAGGAATCGGCTCGGCTGACTGTCCCAATGGCAAAGACGATGATGACTATCTCGAGGCTGAAGTAGCGCAGTTTATCGGTTGATCGAAGAGTAGCACAGTGTTGCTAGGGAGGTTGGTGAGGGTATTGTAGCGTTTGTTGTTGCGTCTGATGCATGAACTTTGCGATTGCGAAGGGACGAACGGTGCAACATGAAGCGGACCGGATCCGGCTGTGATTAGAAGCGGTGATGGAAGCGGGTGCATGACCGTCTCGGCCACGGTAAGAGATAACCAGAAAAGCTTCCTATTCCTGTAAACCTCTGGACCGACTGGATGGCGAAGCAAAAAAATACGGACAAATGTCGAATGTGGTGGAAGGAGAACGTGGAATGGAGCCTGGTCTAGATACTGCGGAGGAGTGGATGTAAGTAATAAGCTGCACCGCCGAGTAGACGCAGATAGAGGCAGGTCTCTGGTGAGCATACCGCCGCCCTCCTAGCGGCTTCTAGGATGAGATGGGCAATGGGATAGGCTGGGCCGGGATGGCCAAGTTGGGGGGCAGTCAAGGATACCTGGTGAAGGTCCCTTTGCGCGCTAGGGATGAATGGGGGATTCGGGCCCTTGGGAGTAAGAGTTTGGGGGGTGTGGGACGGAGTGACAAGGAACTGGGCGAGGGTGTGCCGTCAGGGACTTGGTGGTGTGCATCACCAGCTTTTCTTGGCTGGCCAATCCTGATCCTGTCGGCTGGAGGGCGACAGGTGAGAGGTTGTGAGGAGGTCGGGTGGGTGAACGGATTGGCGGCGCACTCGACGAGAGAGAGAGAGGGACCACAGGGGCATCAGTCAAGGCCGGCCGTGTCCATCTCTCTCCAGGAGAGAGATATCCCAAGCCGGTGGCGGACCAAGATGCTGTCAGTCATTGGCATTGGCATTGGAAGTGGCATTGGCACTGTCGTTTGCTGTTTGTTGATGTCTCGCCTTCCTCGGTCCTTTCCCAGGGCCATGTATACGTGTCTCCAGTCTATCTAGTACGTATCCGTACTGACAGAAAGATACGGCGGTCAGCCATCGCAGAACTGCCATTGGAATGACGCTAATCCGCGTTCAAGATGTAACCGATTCGCTCATCTGGTGGGGGTGATTCGGAGTTGGCTGGGAAGCTAGGAGCTAAGGTGGTAAAGACAAGTACCTAGCTTTGGGCCTCGAGTCGTTCGCCTCGACCGAGTGTGTCCCGCGACAATGTCTCACTCGCTGCGGCACCCGAGCCCAAGGTAAGGTGAGTTGAGGCAAGAATAGTACTCTGTACTCTGTAGCTCGCCTTCGCTTTACAGTCAGCATGGCTTCTTCGCGTACTTTGGCGGGCTCCATTTTGAACACGACAATAGTCTTTTGGGGCCTCGGCGCTCGCGGCGCAGACACTGCGGCTGGACGGGCAAAGAGTCCGAACCCGACGAAAAACGGGTATCGAACCGGCGCTGCTGCGTTTGTTGCAGCATGCGCGAAAAGCTCTCAGAACTGCCTCCACATCTCTTCCCACAGCACTTTCCAGCTGCATCTTGCCATTTTGCGAATTTGGCAATGGTCTCTTCGACGATGGAGTAATTCTCGAAGAACATGTCGTCCAGCCGAGTCTGATCGGCTGTGTTGACGGCGTGGCCTACTCGATAAGCCAGAAATACATGCCCTTGCCGTCGGTGTCGGAGCTGGCCGCGTGCTCTTCCAAGGGATTGGCCGCACTCTCTCAGGTCATCGACGTCCCGCTATCAAACTCGATTCGTGGTATCCGTACTCCGTAGGAAGCAAAAGTATCTGTTATCCCAAGAAATCGTACATGGCTCTAGAGCCATTGGATGCATTGGCAAGCCTCTCCGTTATCGTATACCGACATACAGACAGAGCGCCAACGAAAACCCCTCTCCACTTGTCTCGTCTTGTCTTAACTGCCTGGGAGCCTGGAGGTGGTCTTGATTTCTCAGTCGTGTGCGCCTCTCCACTTAGATAAGGCGACGGCAGACGAGAGGCCAGCCTTTCTTCGCAGGATTGGTGGACCGGCCGTTGAACGGCCGTTGCGCACGCCCCCTCCTTGACTGATATGAACAGATAAGTCGCGAATTCAGTGCCTTGGCTCATCGAATCAGTATACACAGTAGCCCACATGCTGACTCCCTCTTAAGAATCAATCATTGTATGGACTAACCGAGCCGAGTACAAAGCAAACATTGTGTACGAATACTATTTTCCTCCGTACTGCGAATTCGAGGGCCCCGTAATAGTCCCTACGCAGGCGCGCGGAGACGATGCGGAGGCGATTTGGCCCTTGCCCTCTTTCTTTACCGGGGAAGAGTCGCCCACAAGGATGTCTAATGGCTGTCAGGTTAAAACGACAGGGGTTGGCTTTCACAGGCTGTGGAGGGTCAAAGTGTCTTTGGGTTGCCAATGGCCCTGCCCTGCTCTGCACTGTCCTGCTGACTGAAGAAAGGACGGTGGCATGGTCCGACGCGTTGGTAAGCTTTGCAACTTTATTAGTAGATCAGGGCATACAGGTTTTGGCACTTGGTAGTACCAATGGTCGCCAGCAAGATGCATGTCTCCTTGGTTGCTTCGATGCAGTTGACGGCCGCCATGGCCTGATGGCGCTGCACGGCTGAGGGTTGGGAATCCTAGAGAAGAAGAGACATAGATAACCGCGGTTTGTTTAATTGGACTTTGGCGAGGGGGCCGAGCCTGGGCTTATGGACTGAGAGTCTGATATTGACCATGTGGTGGATTTTTTTTGGTGGTGTTGGCTACACTGCCAGGATTTCTTGGTAGACCGGAGGTGAATCAGAGGCACCATTGATTGCCGCTACGGTGTAGACAGGCGAAAGGTTACCGCAGGCGGTGATAGAGCGAGAATGGTGATAGGATTGAGGCGATGGTGGGCTCGGCCGGCCGACTCGAGCATGTGGAATTGGATAGCGCAGCAGGAGCTGGAGAGGAGCGCATTCGCGTCTCGGCTGTCGTCCTAAAGTGGACAGCTGCAGTATCTCGTGTGTCCCCGTATTTTATCATTGCTTTCTAGGAAGGGTCATGTAATAAACAGCCGCCCAGTCGAGTATGTATGCTCTAGCGTTGGCGCGGCGCAAAGTACACGATTGTCGGCATCGTATGCCTGGGTCTCTGTTCTGTTGAGCTGGCGCGGGTGGGAGGCAACAGCTGATGCCGAGTAGACAAATGGTCGGCGAGGAATAAGCGGATGGCACAAAGTCACGGCGGACGCCTGCAAGATCAAGGGGGTGGAAGGTTGACGAGTTGCCAAGCCATTAAGGTGGCTGACGCAGGAGACGGAAGCCATGGCCGTTGCGTTGCCGCCGGGTGAGGTGAGTCAACTTAATCCATCGAAAAGAAGTGCCATATCAGAGCGTCGTCCGATGCCTCGAGGTCAAGGCCGTTTGTTCCTCCCTCGGGTATCAGCATTTAACGATCGCAGCCGAGTACACTACCTAATAAGGAGGGATGTGCGCAACATCGGCCGACCATGGCACAGACCAGGCATGAACCGCGGTCCGATAGCGCTGGCAATTGTACATCAGCAACACCAGTAAACAGTCACGGGGCCTTCTTCCCTGCCTGATCAGAAGCTGTCTGTCTCACTCTTGCTAGAGAAAGATCTCCGAGAAGGAGGGTTGCCGCGTGGGAAAGTCAAGACTCGAGACTTAAGAGCAGCATGGTCGACATGAGGCTAGGCCGTTCCTGAATTGAAAGTATGCTCAAGTGTTGGGTGACTTGGGTCCCGAAGAATTTAGCGGTGCTAAGGCGAGATAGTCGACAGTCCAGCTGAAATTTGAGTTCAATCGATGGCAGGTCAAAAATGCAGGGTATATGCGCGCGATGAACATACGCAGTAGGTAGGATAAGGCGGTGGTGGGGGAGGATTTGGAGATCGGAGAACTTAGAAGAGGAGAGCTGTGATCCAGGACTGAGGGTGAGGAAGAAGAGGGACTGGAACCGTGGGACGTGGAGGAGGAAGGGGGGAGGAGGGGGAGGGGGCTGGGCGTGGGGGTAAAGAGAGGGGGGCGTGTGTTGAGCAAGGGCTGGGTCGGGAGGAAGGAAGGAAAGCAACGCAGATTGCAGGCAAGAAGCAGGCACGGCAGGCTGGCAGGTATGGAGAGCAGGAGCAAAGTCGAACAAGCGCAAGAGCAGTCGGTCGGGTGTGGGTGGACCTGCTGCTTTTGCCTATCAATCCTTTCCTCACAATTACGGATGCGGATGCCCATTTTCTTTTCCCACCCTCGGTCAAGGCCTTATTCCTGGGTATTCACAGATACGGGCAACGAGCTGATATCTTTCAGTTTCCGAGTCAGGTGAGAAAACCATTCGTGTCTCTTTTCCTCCCCATTCTGAGACCAGACTAACCGACTGTGGCGGGCAGTGAGAAACCTACTTGGGTGGTGTGCGTCGCACCAAGCCCGCCACGGGGATTTGGAGTAATGTCTGTACGGAATGCAGTCTGTACAGAATGTACAGAGACGGTACTCCGTATCTAAGATACCATGACATTCACCCCCGAGCTCGGGATACCTTTGACTCGGATATCAGAACGCCATTGCCGTCTTCGTCCTCACGACCGCAGGGAGCGAAACGCAACGGTCACGGCAACGGCAACTGCAAGTCGCAGTCCACTCAAGGCACACCATCATGTCTTGCCCTGCGATGCAGCGATGCACCCGTGTCTCTGCCGTATCCGTACCTTGCTTGCGATTTACCCTGCCTTGCCTGTCCTGCCCTGCTCTGGAGTCTGCTCCCCCTGCGTGCGGCCCCAACAGTGGACAGCGCGGGAGAGGCCATCTCGTCATCTGTTGGTCAAGGCCCTAGCCAGCGACAAGTGGATGACACCCGCCGCCGGACCACCACTGACCACTGATTATAACGGCACAGAACGGATACCACTCTGGGGAGAGGAAGGGGCACGGCACGCACGGGTGGGAACTTGGGAAGAAGCACACACATTGAGGTCTTGAGCCACTGTTTAACTCTATCGTTTTGCATTACTAGAGGATTACCGCAGTACATATAGACGCTACCCTACCCTCGAATTCCGCACTATTTAACCTTAACCCTTTTCTTACCTATCCTTTTCTCTATTCTACCCTCTCCCTTATTAAAAAATTATTAAAATTATAGTTTTAATAGCTTATTAATAAACTAATATTACTATTTAAAAATAAGTAACTTATTTTTATATATAAATACTAAAAGTTTTATTATTATAAAAATAATAATAAATATACTAGAGTACTTAAAAAAGCTTTTTAATAAATTTTTAATACTATTTAAAATAATTATCCTCGAGCTATAAGAAGAAGCTAAGGTATTATATTAATACGGCCCTATTTATTTTATTAGTATTAATAATACTTTTTTTAATATAAAATATATTAATAATATTCTATAGCTATATTATTATATTTTATAAATTATATTTAATATTAATAAGGATTTAGTATTATTTATTAAGTATTTTATTAAAGTTATTATTATAAAGTTAGTTTAGTTATTAATATTTTAATAAGTATTTTAATTTAATTTAAAAGCTTTTATAGCTCTTAATTAAAAGTTTTTAAAAAATTTATAATTAAACTTTTTATTTATTATAAATAAAGCTATTATAATTAAAATTATAACGCTACTTATAGACCTCGATAATAAATAGTTAATAATATAATTATTTTTTTTTTATAATAAGCTTAAAAAAATATCTTAATTTAAGTACTAAGTAGGTACTATATTATTTTATTAAAACTATATTCTTATATTTATAACTTAGAAAGAATTAACTTTTTTCGATAATAAGGTACTCAGAGGTCTTGAGCATCGGGGGGAAAGCTTTGGCCACCGCTTAGGTTGCTGTCTCCCGCCTCCCACTGGCCAGATCCATCCAGTTTCCTGTCACCGGGAACCACGATGGAGTCCACGGCTTGCACGGGGTCCCATAAGTGGCCCGATTCGGCTGTGACAATCGAGATGGATCAATCAATGGAGATGGGTTGGTTGCTCGCTCTGTTTCTGTCTTTACGTACTCATCATGCTTCAGCTGCTACATAGCTTATTCCAGCCCGGATACACCACCCCTTGGCCTTATGGATGTCATGTATCTGTAAGCCGTACAAGGCCATCTCATCCGTCTCACGCACCTCCCTTCCTTGCCACGCCGTGCGGGTCAGATCCGGTCCCGCCCGTAGTCACGGGCAGTAGCGGCGCTCAAAGGTTCCCGTCCTTTTTTGCAATCTGCCATCCAGTGTGTGTTGCAGCAGCTGTCAGCATCGAGCAATAGGGTGCCTTGCGGATTCAATCTGCTTCCCCAACGCAAGGCAAGGGCAAAGGTACCTCATGTGCATCTGCACCTGCTGCTTCGCACTGGCACTTCCTATCTCTGCCTCGACATGTTACCGCGCCGCCTGTGCCTTGTCATGTCATGCCATGCCATGCCACGCCACTGGTGATGGCCCTCCTCAGCACCTTACCTAAGATATGCATACGTACTGCGTAGTAAGTAATAAGGTATTCCTTCTACGACCCTTCCCAGCCATGCCTTCCCAATCATATCTCTACCGGCTTACACCAGCTTCGGCCATACGGTTGGAACAGACAATTGCCATTCTGACCAATGTCTCTTCCAGATAATCGAGCCCACAATTACCGCCCTCTTGATGTATCCTTTTTTCCAACGCCCAGAGCTCGCGAAAATTAATTGGGATGTACGAGACAACATCAACCAACAGGCAGAGTGGCGTTACCAAGTATGCCTCTTCACACC